CCATCCATCCATCATCCATCATCCATCCATCCATCCATCCATCCATCCATCCATGGATGCTGGTGCCTATTTTTTCTAAATTTGGAGGATCCTCTCTTTTATAAAAGTAGCAGTAATACATTTTAGGAATCAGTTTAAGGTAGCAGTATCACATCCTAACAGATAAATTGTCATAAACATAAATAAAGAAAAAAATCTAAAAGCATAAGGATATAATGATAATAAATTTTTATTACATACATTATGTGTCCTATAAACTACAATAGAAGGGCAATAGCATCCTATTTTATTGAGAGATTTAAGCTTACACAAAGATTGACAGGTCAAATCTACTAAAGTAGCTGTACAATTAGATATATGGCTAGTGTCATACTAACATTTTAGTTTTTTGTTTTGTTTTATGTAGTAATTTAATCATTTTCACTGGAAATGTTTAGATTGAGACTTAAACCCTCACATAACTACCATTCGCTTTTACGTCACATTGTTAGTAGTGCAGTCCTTCACACACATCAAAAAATTACTGGTAGTTCGGATTAGTTTCCTCTGATTATAAAAACATGGGTAACAATAAATCATCTGATCTTACATTTTTTCTGATAAGACAAAAACTATAATCTTTGGAGCAGAGCCTTTTAAAAAAAGCTGATTAGTTGGTCACGCCACCTGGAAGGCAAAAAATTGTCCTTTGATAATAATGTAACAAACCTTGATGTTGATCAGGACTTGTTATTTAAACAAATTAAACAGGTTTTCTAGGATTTTTCTCTCTCACCACTAGAAAATGGCAAAAATAAAGATCTTGTCCATGAGAGAGGCTAAAAACCAGTCACTCCATTTACCATCGCATGCTTGGACTGCTGTAATTTTTTACTACTCTTGTATATAAAGCTCTAATTAATCATCTGTGATACCATCCATCTTATATCAGAGATCTGACCATTCCTTATGCTCCTAACAGAGCACTTTCATCTTTATCTTTTAGTTATCAGGCTCCTCTCCTGTGGAACCAACTACCAGTTTTAGTCCGTGAGGCAGACACCCTGTCTACTTTTAAGGCTAGGCTTAAAACTTTCCTTTTTGATAAAGCTTCTAGTTAGAGTGGCTCAGGTTATCCTGAGCTATCTCTATAGTTCTGCTGCTATAGGCTTAGACTGCTGGAGGACATAGGAACCCCTTTTTCATCATTCTGCTTCATTCTATCTCTATTCTCCCACTCTGCAGAATCTATTAGTTCAATCTCTAACGTTCTGCTCTCTCTGCTTTTCCTCAGAGTAGCTTTGTCTGGTCTGTTCCTGTTTGGCTGTGACTCCATCCTGGAGAGAAATATCAGCTGTGCTGCTGCCATCAACACCTTTGTTTCTAGATGTTGGAGCTTGGCCTGTTTCCCAGTGTAGTCCTGTTTCTCTGACTGTGACTGGCTGGATGTGCTCACTTCATCCTCTGACATGGGAGCTGGCTCGGAGCTCGTCGCTTGCTGAATGTTTCCTGGATGACTTTTACAGTTCCCTTTTTTATCTTTTCTGTCTCCTTGAACCCCAGTGGGCCTCAGCAGATGGCCGCTCACACTGAGCCTGGTTCTGCTGGAGGTTTCTTCCTGTTAAAAGAGAGTTTTTCCTCTCCACTGTCACTACAAGCATGATTAGTGTGAGGGATTCCATTCCAGTCGATCGGTCGATGCAATCAGCTGGTTTTACTTCGATAGAAAACTTTGAATCAATTTGACTGGATGATCTGGTTAAATTGTAAAGTGCATGTGTGCATTGTTGCATTAGAAATAAACTGAACTTAATTAAATTCTTTAGAAGCATCCTCAGCTGCAAAGTCCAAAGAACAAAAGCGACTGCCCACCATCACCTCACCCTTCTCTACTTATATTTAAAAAAGTTGTTTTTTTAAAGGCCAAAAGGAGCACCCACCTTTATAATGACAGCATGCAATTTTTTTTTATTATTAGTTTCAATTCTTTGTATATGCTTACGTGTTCTTGTTTGTTTTCTGTCACTACATATTTTATGTATTTTCCATCTGTGCTTCTACGGCACCTGTGACTCACAGATAAACAAGACAGCAGGTGGTTTGTGATGTAATGCTGCATACATATAAGTCGCGACTGTTACTCTGTGATCTGTCTGAGGATAAAGCAAAACTAGAAAACACAATAAAAATTAAAACCTGTGTTAGACATTTAGAGATGTTTCAGTATGCTCTCTAGTGATTCTCACCATTTAGAAATGCTAATTTTGGATTTTTCTTTTAGGACATGTGCTGGTTTTTAATACTATTTTTGGCTTTAGAAAATATTTGATTTGGCAGTACCTGTATTGTTTTGCTATTGGTATGTAGAGTATGTCATTTTCAAGGTCCAAGTTCTCTTTTTTCCTTTATGGGATCTTTCTTTGCAGCTTATATGCCACCCTTACACTCAGCATACAGAATGCCAGATCGCTGGTGCACAGCGCTAGCTACACTTTAAACAAAAGGGAAGATGCAGAGAGAGATGGACAGTACCTGCTGGGGATAAAAAGGATCAGAAGACTTTACTGTAATGTGGGCATCGGCTTTCATATTCAGGTCCTACCAAACGGGAAGATAACAGGAGTGCACAATGAAAACAAATACAGTAAGTATCTTTGTATTCTATAATAAAGGTAAAATATTAGAATACTGTAAAAGATTTAATGATTGATACCAGTGGTCTGCAACCTGCGGCTGCAGAGCCATATGCGGCTTTATGGTCCCTTCAGTGGCGCTCAGATGAGATCAAAATAAATAGTTTTTCAAGATGATGCAAAAAAACTAAGAAACTTAAGTATAAGAAAGTTATCATCCAGAAATGTAGAAAAATGTTCCTTTAATAGGGTAGCGCGCTGAAGCTTCTGTCCTTAACATTGCATTAAAATTGAACTTTTACACCTTTACTTGAGTAAAAAAACTTAAGTTAATACTCACACTTTTACTTTATACTTTTACTTGTGTAATAAATATTTATACTTTTGACACCTCTTGATATTTGCTCACATTGTGTGCAGCAATCCCTCTTGCCTAGCATGCATGCAGGGGAGAGGAAAAAAACCCTTTTAACAGAAAGCAACTTCCAGCAGAAGGATGTAGTCCTATGAACCTTTCAAATAGTTTTAAATATTCATCTTAAAGTCAGATAATGTCAGAAAGATTGCTGCGCTGCAAAAAATTAGATGAATGGAAAATCTGTATTTAGAGGCAGAATGACTGAATTTTCAATTGAATTCCATTCAGTTTATTTCTATAGCACCAGTTCACGACATTTCATCTCAAGCCACTTTCCAGTTCACCAGATCATCCAGTCAGATTGATTCAAAGTTTTCTATCTAAGGAAAACCAGCTGATTGCATCGACTCATTGACTCTTCAGCAATCCCTCACACAAAGCATGCTTGTAGCGACAGTGGAGAGGAAAAACTCCCTTTGAACAGGAAGAAACCTCCAGCAGAATCAGGCTCAGTGTGAGCGGCCATCTGCTGAGGCCCACTGGGGTTCAAGGAGACAGAAGCAGAGATTTAAACTGTTAGGAATGAACTAGGGGTTTAGGGACAAGGCTTTAAATCAGGGGTCTTCAACGTTTTCCAAGCCAAGGAGCCCCAAACGGATGGGGAGATGGGGCGGGGACCCCCTAATTTTATATATATTGATGAAATTGTGTTCTATCAAACTGGTCCTATAGTCACTCTATTACAGATGGAGTAATGTAACGGAAGTAATTTCTCCCTGGGATTATTAAAGTATTTCTGAATCTGATTCCTGGTTGATGGGACAGGTGTTGTGAATGAAACGGTACCCAGCTTGAAAGAGCTCCTGTGTGTAGCTGAATGTGAGCATTGATGACTGAAAGACATCTTCTGCCTCCATTGATCTGTTTACTACAGTGTGTTGAACTCATTTTAATGTGTACTTAAAGACATTTCAATTAGTTTAAAAAATTGAAGGGAAGAATATTTATATAAATATAAACAAATCTAATCAACTAAAACTTTCGCGACCCCCATGCAGTACCTCCGTGAACCCCCTAGGGGTCGCGGACCACCTGTTGAAGACCTCTGCTTTAAATCATCAATCAACTAATCATGTTTGCAGGTGGAAAAGCTGCATTTTTCAATCAATTCCTAGGAGGGATGATTTAAATTAAAGTTTTAGGTTAATTTCTGTAGTTTGCAGTTTGATTTAAACCACTTAGTCCTATAAATGTATATCTTAGTATGTATATTTTCTCTTTACAAAAATATGCCGAAACGTTTTGTCAATAGTTTTAAATATTTAACTTAAAATAAGATACTGTCAGCAAGATCACTGCCAAAAAATTAGGAGAATGGAAAATCTGTATTTAGAGGCAGAATGACTGAATATTACCATAAAAAAATCTGCCAAGCAACTCAAAAAATTCTTTATAGTTTTGTGTCGGGGTGATTGGGTCAAACTGGTTGCTGAGTTCTATGAATTAATAGACTAGTAGCTACTTATTAATGAAATAATATTAAATAACATAATTTTTAATTTCTATATCAACTGTATTTATGCAAAGCAAAAAACTTAATTGGTTGCAGTTTCTGATTTATTGAAATTAAGCAATTTCTAAATATCTGTAGCTAATCTCAAACAATAATTACAGAACAAATGTTAATGCATTGCAAAGTTTTTTAGGGTATTCTATATTAATAAGTGGAAATGAAACGTAAAATCAAATGGATGCAGTCTATGACTTGATGAAATTAACTGTTTATTGTTTGATATTCCTGTTGAGGAGGAGGAATTGCTGTAAAGCCATTTATTTAATGGAATTGTCTAGTTAACTCTGGACTGACAAAGGTTCAGTTCAAATCAGTTTATTTCTATTCCGCCAATTCACAACACATGTCATCACAAGGCACTTTACAGTTCAAAGTTACAGTTCAATTGATTCAAAGTTTTCTATCTATGGAAAACCAGTTGATTGCATCGACTCATTGACTCTTAAGCAATCCCTCACACTAAGCATGCTTGTAGCGACAGTGGGGAGGAAAACTCCCTTTGAACATGAAGAAACCTCCAGCAGAACCAGGCTCAGTGTGAGCGGCCATCTGCTGAGGCCCACTGGGGTTCAAGGAGACAGAAGCAGACATAGAAAAAGAAGCATAGATACAAAAGGCAACTGTCAACCAGCTTCACAGGCGGCCCCGTCCAGGAAACACACAGCCAGGCAGACGAACTCCGAGCCAGCTCCCATGTCAGAGGATGAAGAGAGCACATCCAGTTAGTCACAGTCAGAGAAACAGGACTACACTGGAAAACAGGCCAAGCTCCAACATCTAGAAACAAAGGTGTTGATGGCAGCAGCACAGCTGATATTTCTCTCCAGGATGGAGTCACAGCCAAACAGGAACAGACCAGATGAAGCTACTATGAGAAAAAGCAGAGAGAGCAGAACGTTAGAGATTGAACTAACACATTCTGCAGAGTGGGAGAATAGAGATAGAATGAAGCAGAATGATGAAAAAGGGGTCCCTATGTCCTCCAGCAGTCTAAGCCTATAGCAGCAGAACTATAGAGATAGCTCAGGATCACCTGAGCCACTCTAACTAGAAGCTTTATCAAAAAGGAAAGTTAACGAGCAAGGTTTTGACCAATTTTTCCAGTCATGGACAGTCAGCACAAGGCCTTCTAAATGGGACATGTGCTGAGTCTTATACCATACTGAACACATGACTGCATACTTTGTTTTGTGAAGTTTCTGTCAAAGTCAAGCTGGAGAGTGTTAAATAGACTGGAGGACTCAAAGAATGTGATCCCCATCCTAACTTTAGGGTGATAATTAAAAACAGTCCTGATAGCTGCTTCTTTGCTTGCTCAGATATATGTCTATGTAGGACCTTCATTATGTGGGATGTCAGTACAACAGGTCTAGAGCTGTATAAACCATAGAGTTTTCGTTGGTACTGGAACAAGGCAAATCTTCCACATCACTGGAATAGTCTTAGGTTGAAAGGTTGCTGCAGAATCCCCCAGAGCTGCTCTGCACTGACCTTCAGGACTCTGGGACTGATACCATCAGGACCTGGTGACTTATTAAAGGTTACACCTTTGTTTCTAGATGTTGGAGCTTGGCCTGTTTTCCAGTGTAATGCCTGTTTCTCTGACTGTGACTAACTGGATGTGCTCTCTTCGTCCTCTGACATGGGAGCTGGCTCGGAGCTCGTCTGCCTGGCTGTGTGTTTCCTGGACGGGGCCGCCTGTGGAGCTGGTTGACAGTTGCCTTTTGTATCATCTCTTCTTTTTTTTCTATGTCTGCTTCCATCTCCTTGAACCCCAGTAAAGTGCCTTGAGATGACATGTGTTGTGAATTGGCGCTATAGAAATAAACTGAATTGTCACAGTTCTGTCTCTCCAACTGCCTCTTTACTTTGCTTCTAAAGACAGACGGGTAGAAGTGGAAGGGAGCAGTTGAGAACAAATGCATAGAAGCAGGAGGATCCATGGCAGAGTTGGAAGATGAAACATTTGAAATGTGATATTTGATATTTAAACAGAGAAAAATTAATGTATTTTTAAGCAATTTCCTAAAAGATGAGATCCTTCATTAGAAACGGGTCCTTGAATTTTGCATTAAGCACAAAGAACAAGCCGAAACTTTTTTTGTTTGACGATTTCAGACCCCATTTCAGTGGGAAGTTTATTTTAATGTCATAATATTAGGAAGTGCTTGTAAATTTTTCTCCACAAGATCCATAAAATCATCATTAATAAATAAATAAATGTTAAAAATCACAAAAATACTAATGCTCATTGTGTACTAATACCATCCAGTGTTTACTGTTTCAACACCCACATAAATATTAAATCAGCCCCTACGTTTGATCAAAATTATGGTTTAAGTCAATCACTTCGGTTTATTTCAATAATTATACTTCTTTGATTAAAAAAAAAAACTTTTTGTGTGTTTAAAGTTACAACATAGAACTTTCTGCTTTATCTCTGTGTGCTGGTGAATGATTATCACATACACCAGTCCTTTCATCTTTATCCCAACTTGAAAGTAAGATTTATTTGTGTTTGTTTTCAGTTTTTCCATGATCTTAACTATTTGATATGTGCTGTTTCACCCAACAGGTCTTATAGAAATTTCTCCAGTAGAAAGAGGAGTGGTTACTTTGTATGGGGTGAGGAGTGGTCTGTTCATCGCCATGAGCGACAAGGGGAAACTTTACGGTTCGGTAAGTCTGGATCTGACTTATAATAGTTTTTTTGTATGTATTTGGTGTAAAACTTTACTTTCTGACGGAACATAAACAATATGGCAGAGTTTCTGTTCTGTTGGGTTGATTTTTAATTTCAGAATCTTTTCAACCTTTGAACCTCTCTTTGGCTTAGAAAAATGTCTTCTTTTTTTCACCAAAAACATTTAATCAAAAATGTAGTTGTATGCGTTTTACAAGTTTATGTTACTGACCTATTTGTGCTTTTTTTATTCATGACGTATTTAGGGATATTTTTTGTTACCTATAAAGATAGAAGAACCTTAATGTCTGAATCTGGTAAAACTATTGATGAAGCTGTAGTTCCTATTAGACCAGAATTTTTTATTTAATTTTGTTTTCCATTTAATTAATTTCAGTTTATTTATATAGCTGCAACTCACATCATGTCATCACAAGGCACTTTCCAGTTCACCAGATCATTGAGTCAGATTGATTCAAAGTTTTCTCTCTAAGGAAAACCAGCTGATTGCATCGACTCATTGACTCTCCACAATCCTTCACACTCAGCATGCTTGTAGCAACAGTGGAGAGGAAAAACTCCCTTTGAAAAGGAAGAAACCTCCAGCAGAACCAGGCTCAGCGTGAGCGGCCATCTGCTGAGGCCCACTGGCGTTCAAGGAGACAGAAGTAGAGATCAAAAAGGCATGGACATTATGGACATGCACCTACAATGACAATTTCTGACCACTCCATGATTTCTAAGTGGGAGAACTTGCCTAAATAGCAGGGTGTACAAATACTTATCTTACTCACTGTAGCTGCTTTAGGCTTAGACTGCTGGAGGACATAGGGTCCAATTTTTAATCATTCTGTTTCATTCTTTCTCTATTCTCCCATTCTGCAGTATTTGTTAGTTGAACCTCTAACTTTCTGCTCTCTCTGCTTTTTCTTATCATAGTAGCTCCATCTGGTCTGTTCTTGTTAAGCTGTGACATCATAATGGAGATAAATATCAGTTGTGCTGCTATCATCAACACCTTGTTTATATTTGTTGGAGCTCTGCCTGTTTTTCGGTGTATTCCTGTTTCCCTGCAATGACATAGGGCCGGATTTATCAAGATCCAATTTTGCGTGCAGTAATTTGCGCTCGCAAACTGGAATTTTGCGCGAGGGGCTGGACCATGGTTTGCGGGTGATTTAACAAGAGCGATTGCGTAACTGGTGGCAGGTGCAAAACTGTTGGAGACGCGCTATTTAAATGATGTTTTGCGCGTTTTGTGGTTTGCGGCAAAGTAGTTTGTAGTTTTTACAAACTAGTGCATTAAGAAATTTAAATCTTACAGTGATATATAAAGAAAAAACTTTGGCAACCTTTATTCCCTAAGGTGGTATGTGGCTGAATTTCTACTTCACTGCAGTAAAAAAAAAAAAAAAAAAAAAAAAAAAAAAAAAAAACAGGTGTTTTGTATTGGCCTGTAGAAAAATGCACATACCAAATGGCTCACAAGAAGTGACTGGGGATGAGATTACTGCGCAGCATTGGCATGTTGCTCCACAGGCGCAGGGGGAGAACCCCGACCCCGTCGGACAGCACTTCTGAAAAACGAGATTGGGAGATCCCAGCTCTCGCTGCAACCGTACGCTGGAATGACCCAGATGCAAAAAAGTGCAACGTTGCAAGGAGTTTTGTGATATCTGGTATTGCGTGGGTCCTCCTTGTGGCTGGCTCCAAATCCATTCGGAGTTCCCCCAACAGCTCCAAAATGGCAATGCTGGATAAACGATATGTTTTGATGATCGTTTCCTCGTTCATTCCAAAAATATTCACACGGAGTGAAAAAATGCGTTCTCTGCGTCTCCTTGCTTCATTTCCATGTCTCCTTCTTGCGACAATAACCGCTGCCATGTGTGCGCAATTACGCATACAGACCATTTGCACCTTCTTTTGAAACGTGTTAAATATAGAGTCAGATACCGTTAGCAAAATTGCTTTCAGGTTTAATAAATCACTTTGCGAGTGCTAAATTAATATATTTACATGTTCTCCTCCCACAAGACGCACTTTTGCGTGTAAACGCCCCATATTGCATATTCATTGCAGAAAAAGTACTAAATGGATAAGAAGCGCTATTTAGCACGTTTAAAAGACCAAATCCTTTTAGCACGCTGTTGATAGATCAGTTTGTACATTTTTTAGCGTGCGCAGTGAAATAGCTCACGTTTTTATACACGCAAACCTTTGATAGATCCGGCCCTAAGTCTATTAAGAGAAATGGCTTAGAACTCATCTGCCTGGCTGTGTGTTTCCTGGACGGGGCCGCCTGTGGAGCTGGTTGACAGTTGCCTTTTGTATCTATGCTTCTTTTTCTATGTCTGCTTCTGTCTCCTTGAACCCCAGTGGGCCTCAGCAGATGGCCGGAGAGACAGCAAGCGCGATTTGTGGCACTGGCAGGTCGCTCTTGAACTTCCGGTGGCAGGTCGGACTGCCACGGCGTATTACTGGCAGCTGCCAGTAGTTGTGGCAGCTGCCACTAGGCTGCCACAACTACTGGCAGCTGCCACAACTACGGAGACTGGCTGCCAGACCGGTTTAAACCGTTTCGGGGGCTGCCGGCGCCGTTTTTTCGGCAAAAAACTTAGTTAACGTGACTCTATAGGTGGATTTTTTTTTTTTTTTATTACGATCTTAGTTAACGTGACTCTATAGGTGGATTTTTTTTTTTTTAATTACGATCTTATTGTTTAATAAAATGTGTGAAGCCTTTCATAAAGTCCTAGAGGTAATTCGTCTGAAAATAAGTGGGAATTTACAGCTGTCACATCAGGGTGACAGTCTTCACTGACACCTGCCAGTAGTTGTGGCAGCTGCCACAACTACGGAGACTGGCTTCCAGCTGCCACAACTACGGAGACTGGCTTCCAGCTGCCACAACTACGGAGACTGGCTTCCAGCTGCCACAACTACGGAGACTGGCTTCCAGACCGGTTTAAACCGTTTCGGGGGCTGCCGGCGCCGTTTTTCGGCAAAAAACTTAGTTAACGTGACTCTATAGGTGGATTTTTTTTTTTTTAAATTACGATCTTATTGTTGAATAAAATGTGTCAAGCCTTTCATAAAGTCCTAGAGGTAATTCGTCTGAAAATAAGTGGGAATTGACAGCTGTCACATCAGGGTGACAGTCTTCACTGACACCTGCCAGTAGTTGTGGCAGCTGCCACAACTACGGAGACTGGCTTCCAGACCGGTTTAAACCGTTTCGGGGGCTGCCGGCGCCGTTTTTCGGCAAAAAACTTAGTTAACGTGACTCTATAGGTGGATTTTTTTTTTTTATTACGATCTTAGTTAACGTGACTCTATAGGTGGATTTTTTTTTTTTTATTACGATCTTATTGTTTAATAAAATGTGTGAAGCCTTTCATAAAGTCCTAGAGGTAATTCGTCTGAAAATAAGTGGGAATTTACAGCTGTCACATCAGGGTGACAGTCTTCACTGACACCTGCCAGTAGTTGTGGCAGCTGCCACAACTACGGAGACTGGCTTCCAGCTGCCACAACTACGGAGACTGGCTTCCAGACCGGTTTAAACCGTTTCGGGGGCAGCCGGCGCCGTTTTTCGGCAAAAAACTTAGTTAACGTGACTCTATAGGTGGATTTTTTTTTTTTTTAATTACGATCTTATTGTTGAATAAAATGTGTCAAGCCTTTCATAAAGTCCTAGAGGTAATTCGTCTGAAAATAAGTGGAAATTGACAACTGTCACATCAGGGTGACAGTCTTCACTGACACCTGCCAGTAGTTGTGGCAGCTGCCACAACTACGGAGACTGGCTTCCAGCTGCCACAACTACGGAGACTGGCTTCCAGACCGGTTTAAACCGTTTCGGGGGCTGCCGGCGCCGTTTTTCAGCAAAAAACTTAGTTAACGTGACTCTATAGGTGGATTTTTTTTTTTTTAATTACGATCTTATTGTTTAATAAAATGTGTCAAGCCTTTCATAAAGTCCTAGAGGTAATTCGTCTGAAAATAAGTGGAAATTGACAACTGTCACATCAGGGTGACAGTCTTCACAGCTGCCACTGGAACCTGACACTAGGTGTCCCTGGCCACTTGTCTGTGAAATACTCTTTTAAAACCATGATATTGCTTATTAATATGTGTAAAACCTTTAATGGTGTGGCTGCATTTACTTTGGAAGCCATAGCGTAAATAGTGCTATCTATGTATTTAATGTGCTGTAAGGAAAGAGGCATTCCATACACTGCTGATGTGTTATACAGAATAGTTAGTATGACATACATAGCCATACTGAAAGCACCTGGCCATGAGGGTGTCAGAGAACACTGGGAGTTGACATCGTTCCACATAATACTGGAGGGTGAAAATGAGGTTAGGTCGTAGTAATTGTAATTCTATGGTGATGATTAGTATGTGTCTCTCCTTAAATCTATCTAAAATCCAGATAGGCTGCAGCAATAAAGATATATGGTTACTTGTAAAAGTCTTTATTTACAGAAGTTATTCAAATCTTGCAAAAACTTTTAGTTTTTTTACATCCACAATGTACAAACAGAACTTTTCATAATCCTCCTTCTTTTCAAAAACAAAAGTAAAATGCTCTGCTGGAGAATATTCATGATAGTCTTCATCCCATGTCTTGAGGGCCTCGAGAGCTTCTGCTTGTTCTAGCTTGTCCATATCCAGAACAACAGGAAGTGTTATTCTTCCACTAAATTTTTGTTCTCTGCACCAGTCAGCTGCAGCCTGACTATCGACAATGAACGGGCTTCCCTGCAGAAAATGATAGGAGATTAGTTACAGATTGGATCTAGATATTTACCTGAGAGAGCACCTGCTAACTAACCAAGAAATTAATGAGAACGTGTGGCAGCATAATTGTCAAAAAAGCAGTTTTTCATATTTAGGCCCGAACATTAAACAGAATCAAGAGTAGATGACGAGACGAACAGCCATGGTAATGTTACAGTACGAACTTTGGTGGATGATGAAGATTTGCAGGCATGCATCACAAGACTAGAGGAAGCCGCAGCCGATTTCTCCACCCTCCCGACCGGGCCAGTTTGGAGGCTGTCTCGAGTCAAGCATGCAGGCCATATAACCTTGTTATTACGTTCATAAAGCACTCAAAATCTCTCTCTCTCTCTCTCTCTCTCTCTCTCTCTCTCTCTCTCTCTCTCTCTCTCATATATACAATATATACATATATATATTATACATATATATACAACGACTGGCAACTACTACCAGGCTGCCAGCATAAACTGGCAGGACAGCCAAACTTTCACCCTGTCGTGGCAGCTGTCAATTTCCACTTATTTTAAGACGAATTACGTCGTTCCATCAAATAAATATGACTTTATGAAAGGCTTGACACAGTTTATTAAACAATAACATCATAATTTCAAAACAAAAATCCACCTTGAGTCACGCTAACTAAGCTTTTTTGCCGAAAACCGGCACTGGCAGCCCCCAAAACGGTTTAAACCGGTCTGGAAGCCAGTCTCCGTAGTTGTGGCAGCTGCCAGTAGTTGTGGCAGCTGCCACAACTACTGGCAGGTGTCAGTGAAGACTGTCACCCTGATGTGACAGCTGTAAATTCCCACTTATTTTCAGACGAATTACCTCTAGGACTTTATGAAAGGCTTGACACATTTTATTAAACAATAAGATCGTAATAAAAAAAAAAAAAATCCACCTATAGAGTCACGTTAACTAAGTTTTTTGCCGAAAAAACGGCGCCGGCAGCCCCCGAAACGGTTTTAAACCGGTCTGGCAGCCAGTCTCCGTAGTTGTGGCAGCCTAGTGGCAGCTGCCACAACTACTGGCAGCTGCCAGTAATACGCCGTGGCAGTCCGACCTGCCACCGGAAGTTCCAGAGCGACCTGCCAGTGCCACAAATCGCGCTCGGCTCTGCTGGATGGCCGCTCACACTGAGCCTGGTTCTGCTGGAGGTTTCTTCCTGTTCAAAGGGAGTTTTTCCTCTCCACTGTCGCTACAAACATGCTTGGTGTGAGGGATTGCTGAAGAGTCAATGAGTCGATGCAATCAGCTGGTTTTCCTTAGATAGAAAACTTTGAATCAATCTGACTGGATGATCTGGTTGAATTGTAATCTGCCTTGGGATGACATATGGTTGTGAATTGACGCTATAGAAATAAACTGAATTTATTTGAAGTCAAAGAAAAATATAAACATTACTGCATTATTTATTTTAAAGTAGGATGCATCGAAGCAAGGTTCCTTAATTCCAGCACACTAGGTCTGGGGTCTGTTTCACAAAGCAGGTTTACCGAAAACTCTAAGTTATCAAAAACCTGAAACCAGGGAAACTCTAACTTTTCCGGTTCACAAAGACAGTTTATTCAACCTCTGATTCAGTCACTGTAGTAACTTTCTCCCCGGAGCTGAACTGGACAGCAGCAGAGTGTTCTCTGTCTCCTCTCTCCTTTCAGCCAATCATGGTTTTTTTTATTTCCTGATTAAGTCCGATTTTAGTCGTAGTTTTATGCATAAAAAAAAAAAATTCACTAGGTCCGTTACAACCATTAAATTTAAAAAACAAACATTACATGTCCGTTTGAGGATTCTACAACTCAGTTGTCAGAGCATGAGATTACTTGTTTTTGGTTTGTTTAATATGAGTGAGATTTGGATCATTTTATTTAGTTATATTTACAGTACATGAAGTACTACTGAAATTATTTTCAGATTAGACAAATAGATTCATTAATTCCGTGGGTGGAAATAAATAACTTTAGGGTTAGGATTCACTTGATGACACCAACCTAATGAGCCTAATGGCTCAATCTGAAGCCATTCTATGGGCCCGATAGCCGCTTATGATGGCCATTTATTGGGATTATTTCACCCGAAACGTGGCTGCATACCCCGCCTTAATATATACTGTTTAAAAGAAGACTGAATCAACATGGAGAAGAGCCCCATGAGATGATCCACAGGTTCTATACATCAACATTTTTATCTTTTATTTCCACCTGCTGCCAGATGATTTCACCTTCATACATACATGGTTCCACTACATTCAAGAAATAATCCTGTAATATCAAAACCATTTTGATGTATATTATGACATAAGGACCCTTGATGGGAATACAATTGTCATGAGAGGGTATTTGTGTTTTTAAATATCTTGAAAATTATATTCTATATATTGTTGTGTTAGGTAGTATTTTATTTGTAAATTTGATTTATTCTTTTTTGATGCAACCAAGTATTTTGATCACGAATTAAGAATTTGTTTCCTTTTTTGAAGACAATCAGTAGACGATTTACTGATGATTAGAAAGCTTAATTTTTCTGTCCTGTCTTTTTTTTAGGGTGCCTACAGAGATGAGTGCAAATTCAAGGAGAATCTCCTGGCCAACAATTACAATGTCTACGAATCAGCCGCCCATCCTGGAATGTATATCGCTCTCAGCAAGATTGGGAAAACCAAAAGAGGCAACCGCGTGACACCCACAATGACTATGACACATTTCCTTCCAAGGACATAGTTGATTTTTACCAAACCTCAATGGAAGAGGACATCCCAAAGAACTGTGTGGTTCCTGCTTGAGGTTCTCTACAATCCATAATATACAAGGACATGTAGCACTCTGTGAATAATTAAAGATATTTGCTTTATTTGTCTTTGGCCCACCAGAGTGAGACTCTTGACCTGGACATATAATAAGTGGATGAAAAAGGGTGACTTTTCAGAGGATTGTGTATTGTGAGTCCCAACAAGGCACTGCTATGCTTTAACACATACTTTTGTGACATGCTTTTAAAGGAACATGACATGAGTGGAATATAAAAGAAAGGTGTAAAAATCTTTGCCTCAGTGGAGTTGGGTTCTAATGATGTTCTGAGTGAAAAAAGCTTTTCTGGTTCTACGTCCAGGGAGTTAAAACCATAGCGACTTTGAATGGGAGCTACTTCAGAATAAAGAATTTAAAAATGAAGAAAAGTGTTGATTACCAATCAATTCATTTTATATAGTGCCGATTCACAATACATGTCATTTCAAGGCACTTTATAGTTCAACCAGATCATCCAGTCAAATGGATTAAAAGTTTTCTATCTAAGGAAAACCAGCTGATTGCATCGACTCATTGACTCTTCAGCAATCCCTCACACTAAGCATGCTTGTAGCGACAGTGGAGAGGAAAAACTCCCTTTGAACAGGAAGAAACCTCCAGCAGAACCAGGCTCAGTGTGAGCGGCCATCTGCTGAGGCCCACTGGGGTTCAAGGAGACAGAAGCAGACATAGAAAAAGAAGCATAGATACAAAAGGCAACTGTCAACCAGCTCCACAGGCGGCCCCGTCCAGGAAACACACAGCCAGGCAGACGAGCTCCGAGCCAGCTCCCATGTCAGAGGATGAAGAGAGTACATCCAGTTAGTCACAGTCAGAGAAACAGGACTACACTGGAAAACAGGCTGATCTCCAGCATCTATAAAAAGGTGTTGATGGCAGCAGCACAGCTGATATTTCTCTCCAGGATCAACCTATTCTCATTATGAGTGCGTATGAAATCGTACGAAAAGTTATGCACCGTAATTTTATACGTTTTGGACGTTTTTTCGTCAGATGCGCATGCTCTACATGTATATACATGTATATATATATATATATATATACACACACATGTATGTATATATATATATATATATATATATATATATATACACACACATGTATGTATATATATATATATATATATATATATATATATATATATATATATATATATATATATATATATATATATATATATATATATATATATATGCACATCCATATATCGGAGTGGGAGCTTGAGATTTATGCTGCGCAGTACTTCACTTTTCTGGACCAATATGTCTGATGTGTTTCCAGGGATCTGATGTAAACACTGCTGGAAATGTATATATATATATATATATATATATATATATATATATATATATATATATATATATATATATATATATATATATATACATATATATACATACATATACAGAGGCGTGCACAGACATTTTGGGGAGCAGGTGCTCAGGAGGGGGGGGAGGGCACTTTTTAGCGTACGTGGAACACTTAATTATAAAAAAAAAAAATACACACACATGTTGAATGAAATTTGACTTTTATTTGTAACATTCTCTAAACGTGAGTTTTCAATGGAAAAAGTCACACCACCAACAGAACAGACTAAAGCGTACTACTTGCTCATCTTTCTTTTTCTTTCATCTGGCTCATCTCCCTGTTTTCCCTCACCCATATGCTCTCCCTCATCCATATGCTCTCCCTCATCCATCTGTTCTCCCTCATCCTGCTGTTCTCCCTCATCCATCTGTTCTCCCTCATCCTGCTGTTCTCCCTCATCCTGCTGTTCTCCCTCATCCTGCTGTTCTCCTTCATCCTGGTCTTTTTCTGTCTCTGTGTCTTCACTGAACTCTTCCTCATCTCCTGTCCTGGTAGATGTTGATGGTATAGAGCTTCCCTGCTGTGACTGGCTACAATATAATAATAATAACCATCATGACAATAATAATGATAATAATAATAATAATAATAATAATAATAATAATAATAATAATAATAATAATAATAATAATAATAATAATAATAATAGCTTTAAAAAATATGCAACATTAGTTTAAATAATGGGCTATTAGGACAACATGACTTGAAGATATGACTTATGGTAGCCTACAAAATAATAGCTATTTTAATACTTGCTGATTTTGTACAAACCACTTAAAAATAAAAAGTCAACAGCTTTTAAGATTTTTCAATACAATTAACCCTCCTTTCTTGGCATTGTGCTGCAATTACTAAATCAATATACAATTAAGACAATAAAGAGACCAAAATGTGTTAATTTCTGTTGCCTAACAAAACCTATACAACAGAAAACGTTTGTCTTAACACATAGATTTGCAATTGCAAACTCTACCGAAATTATCTGTGGCCTATGTGGTCGTCCTCACGTTATCTGTCATTGACTTGGGCTACAGTGTAAAACTTTATCTAGCCTAACTAGTTTATCAGGTGACCAGTCGGCAAAAAAGCTTGTTTGGTGCTGCTGAATGAGACATTTTAATGCACAACAAAATGATTTTGCTTGATCTGTATATTACCTGGCTAATGGGGCACGGGAGAAGCAGCCTGTCAGCCACCGTTCCTGCTATCTGAAGATGCTACTGAACTGCTATGATGCTGCGCATCTGCGGGCGACCGCGCGAGTTCACGTGAAAAAGGGAGAGAGATAGGCTGGTCGGGTGTGCGGGTGTGAGTCGGAGGTGGCTCATTTCGGGGCATTGTTTCTGTCGTTTTTAATGGCTCAGGTTTTCAAAAGATCATTTCAAAACCGACCTCAGTAAAATCTTAATAATATTAATAATAATTTAAAAAAAACGAGTTTCAAAAGGGCATTTTCATTGATAAAGGGCAAACTTCCTAGTGCTTTAGCACCACCTAGTGTCTATGTGTGCACGCCCATGTAGATATACATACATATATATATTAACAAAATAAGTGTGAAACAACTGAAAATTTGTCTTATATTCTAGGTTCTTCAACGCAGCCACCTTTAGCTTTGATTACTGCTTCGCTCACTCTTGGCATTCTCTTGATGAGCTTCCAGAGGCCGTCACCTGATGAAATGGTCTTCCAACAGTCTTGAAGGAGTTCCCAGAGATGCTTAGCACTTGTCTGCCCTTTAGCCTTCGCTCTGCGGTCCAGCTCACCCCAAACCATCTGGATTGGGTTCAGGTCTGGTGATTGTGGAGGGCAGGTCATCTTTCGCAGCACCCTATCACTCTCCTTCTTGGTCAAATATCCCTTCCGCAGCCTGGAGGTGTGTTTGGGGTCATTTTCCTGCTGAAAAATAAATGATGGTCCAACTAAAGGCAAACCAGATGGAATAGCATGCTGCTGCAACATGCTGTGGTAGCCATGCTGGTTCATTATGCCTTCAATTCTGAATAAATCCCCAACAGTTTCACCAGCAAGGCACCCCCACACCATCATACCTCCTCCTCCATGCTTCACATTGGGAACCAGGAATGTAGAATCCATCCTTTCACCTTTTCTGCTTCGCACAAAGACACAATGGTTGGAACCAAAGATCTCAAATTTGGACTCATCAGACCAAAGCACAGATTTCCACTGGTCTAATTCCTCGTGTTCTTCAGCCCAAGGAAGTCTCCTCTGCTTGTTGCCTGTCCTTAGCAGTGGTTTCCTAGCAGCTGTTTTACCATGAAGGCCTGATTCACACAGTCTCCCCTAACAGTTGTTCTAGAGATGCGTCTGCTGCTAGAGGTCTGTGGCATTGACCTGCTCTCTAATCTGAGCTGCTGTTAACCTGCCATTTCTGAGGCTGGTGACTCGGATAAACTTCTCCTCTGCAGCAGAGGTGACTCTTGGTCTTCCTTTCCTGGGGCGGTCCTGATGTGAGCCAGTTTCTTTGAAGCGCTTGATGGTTTTTGTGACTGCATTTGGGGACGCTTTCAAAGTTTTCCAAATTTTTTGGACTGACTGACCTTCATTTCTTAAAGTAATGATGGTTCTTTACTTAGCTGATTTTTCTTGCCATAATCCAAATGCTAACAGACAGTAGGACTATCAGCTGTGTATCCACCTGACTTCTACACAACACAACTGATGCTCCCAACGTCATTTATAAGGCAAGAAATCCCACTTATTAAACCTGATAGGGGACACCTGTGAAGTGAAAACCATTTCAGGTGACAATTTCTGGAAGCTCATCAATAGAATGCTAGGGTGTGAAGCAGTAAAAGCTAAATGTGGCTACTTTGAAGAACATAAGTCATATTTTCAGTTGTTTCACACATTTTTTTTAAGTATATACGTAATTCCACATGTGTTAATTCATAGTTTTGATGCCTTCATTTGGGAATCTACAATTTTCATAGTCATGAAAATAAAGAAAACTCTCTGAACAAGAAGGTGTGTCTAAACTTTTCATCTATATATGCCAATCTGTTCTTAACTCAAAATTGTGGACAACATCAAGTTTAGTAGACAATATAAATGTATCTGAAACTCCTCATTTTATTAACTAATTTTATTATTCCTTTTCCTATTCCTTCTGATTTTATATATGTATTTATTGTGGCAGACCTCCTGTACGGAAGAGGATTAGAGCCATTGGAAAAAAAAAAAGTTAACTGATTTTTTTTTTTTTTTTTCTCAGAATTATGAGATTAAGGTCAGAATTCTGACTTTAATCTCAGAATTCTGACTTTTTTTCTCAGACTTCTGACATTTTTCTCAGAATTCTGAGATTAAGGTCAAAATTCTGACTTTTTTCTCAGAATTCTGACTTTAATCTCAGAATTATGAGATTAAGGTCAAAATTCTGACTTTTTTCTCAGAATTCTGACTTTAATCTCAGAATTCTGACTTTTTTTTCTCAGAATTCTGACTTTTTTTCTCAGAATTCTGACTTTTTTCTCAGAATTCTGACTTCTGACTTTTTTACCATGTTAAACTGAAATCAAATTTTAAAATCAGTGGTCCTAATCCTCATCCGTACTCCTGGCATATTTGTTATTTGTAAATTGTCGTTGAACTTGTTTATTCTTTAATAAAAAAAAAAAAAAAACATGTTTCCTCTGAGCGTGTTCACCGCCCAAACTGCAGGTGGCGCTGCAGGCCGCCCTGCTATCTGCCTGCTCTTAGGTCCACGTCATTCAGCAGCTCTTTCATTCAGCTTGTGCCACGACGCTCACCGCTTTGCTCCTAGAGAAACACTGAAGGTATCGCTTTCTAACTTGTTTAAAATGTTTTGATAGTTTAAAAATAACTGGTTTGTTCAACTGTTCCTTTATTTATCAAGTTCAGTTTGGTTTCTGTAGATAAAGGAGGTTTTAACGTTGATAGTTCTCTCCATTTAGTCCACGTAATCGTTACACTTTGTTTTAAAGCTGCTAATATACGATTAACAGTTTGATATATGGAGACTTAGATCTGGATCTTTATCTAAACAGTTTTCCAGCTTTAAATGAATTAATTTTTTTGTATGTAATCTGTATTATTAGGCCTGTAACCTCTGACTGTGTTTCCCCGGTAGTCTGAAGCTTCCTCCGGTCTGGCCGCCATGCTCCGGGTGTTTGTGCTGCTGGCTGTCCTTGCGCTGGGTGCTGGAGAGGAGGGCGCGCGGCTCCTGGCTTCCAAGTCGCTGCTGAACCGCTACGCGGTGGAGGGCCGAGACCTCACCCTGCAGTACAACATCTACAATGTGGGCTCCAGGTCAGTTCAGGGGCGTAAAGCCGGGCTGGGAAGCAGCTCCATGGGGTTCATCACTGAGCAGAGCCGCTGATAAAATCACCACGAAAAATAAAGCTTGATTTAAAGTTTGATAAGGTAGTCTAATATCAAACAGACCCTGCTGGAAGGAACCTGCTCTAAACTGGGATTAAATCAACCCAGTGGATTTTTACAGAGATGTTTGATAAAGCTAACCAGGGCTGGATTTGGGAAATGTGGGGCCCTAGGCAAAGACAGGCAGGGGGCCCTCTGAACTGAGAAGGCAAAACATAAAACAGAGCCATTCTCCAGATAGAGAAATGTTAATAGAATAGACATCCATTATCTGTTCTAGGTTGTGTCCCTCTCTTCTTGTCCCTTTTCTTCTTGTTTTCCTCTCTATGTTTTGTCCTTTGGCTAAAATGCCATCAGAACACTGATAATAAGTGTGTCTCAGCCCCCCCCCTTTCAGTGTCCGCCATATTGGATCAGTCCATTTGCTGCACATGTTCAGAAAGGTCCAAACAGACAGCAGCAAACCATTTGAAAACAAACCATGCAAAGAGCAGTGTTGCCAACTTAGCGCTTTAGTCGCTATATTTAGCCACTTTTCAGACCCCTCTAGCACTTTGATTTCTAAAAAGCTCCTAGTGCCAAATCTAGAGACTTTTTTCTGCTACTGGAGACTTTGGAGACAACATCTAAAAGCAGCGAACTCTGCTCTCCAGAGCGAGTAGATTGGTAACCCCGCCTCCTGCTCTCCTCTATCTTGTCTGCTGTCATGATTCATGCAGCTATTATTTCATCCAAATGAAAAATGGAGAACACATAAGCAGATCATGGCTTGTCTACAGTGAAAAGAAGGACTGGGTTATTTACTTTGGCCTTTTTGGAAACACAGGAAGGAGCAATCAGCTAAGTGAGCTTAGTGCTTGGAAAAAATCTTTCATTCCTTTAGAGACAGCATGAAAAGTCAGCTGAGTACAAAACATAGAGAGGAAAACAAGAAGAAAAGGGACAAGAAGAGAGGGACACAACCTAGAACAGATAATGGATGTCTGTTCTATTAAAGGGATAGTTCGGGATTTTTGACATGAATCTGTATGGCATCCCCATCACCAGTGTCATGCAATCACACTGACTTACCCCTGGCAGCGTCCTGTGAGCAGAGTTCTCGTCCAGCTTTGGTCAAGCCGAAAGTAGTCCGGCAGGTTTGCTAGACCCAGCGAAATAAAACGTTTCTCTTCCCAAAACATTATGTGTTCAAAAGAGTGATATTTTTGCATCCCAAAAACATTGTAGTGGAAAAAGTCACACGTCGTTATCACTTGGTCCTATTTTCTCTCTGTTCGTATCAGTGCGCGCCGTCATTCTGACAGCGAGCTCAACTTTGAGGAGGGCAGGGAAGTCGCTGTTGTTTGTGATGCAGACAGCAGCTGCTGCAACTCCGACATCCTCATCAATGGAAAGGTTCTGTATCTCGGGCATTACTAAATCCCACTCGTGGCAACAGTAGCATCCACCTCTGTCTGCATTAATTCGCACTTGAAACAAGTGCACCATGATTTGTCGGCCACCCTGGATATCGCAGCTCCAGCTGAGGCTCCTGCGGCTCCGGCTTCAGCTTCCATCACTTCTCTGTCCACCCTCTCTCTTTCTGCCCGATCTAACTCCATTTGTCGCAGTTCGTCAGTGTACTCGGGTTCATAAAGATATCCCTTTGGCTCTAAGTGGAAGTCGATGTTTTCCTCGTCGCTCTCGTAGTCAGACATCTTCCCCAGTAGTAAACAATCGCGAATCAAACAGGTAGGCCCTAGCTGTCAGGTCATGGTGTCGCGCGCACTGATACGAACAGAGAGAAAATAGGACCAAGTGATAACGACGTGTGACTTTTTCCACTACAATGTTTTTGGGTTGCAAAAATATCACTCTTTTGAACACATAATGTTTTGGGAAGAGAAACGTTTTATTTCGCTGGGTCTAGCAAACCTGCCGGACTACTTTCGGCTTGACCAAAGCTGGACGAGAACTCTGCTCACAGGACGCTGCCAGGGGTAAGTCAGTGTGATTGCATGACACTGGTGATGGGGATGCCATACAGATTCATGTCAAAAATCCCGAACTATCCCTTTAATAGAATAGACATCCATTATCTGTTCTAGGTTGTGTCCCTCTCTTCTTGTCCCCTTTCTTCTTGTTTTCCTCTCTATGTTTTGTACTCAGCTGACTTTTCATGCTGTCTCTAAAGGAATGAAAGATTTTTTCCAAGCACTAAGCTCACTTAGCTGATTGCTCCTTCCTGTGTTTCCAAAAAGGCCAAAGTAAATAACCCAGTCCTTCTTTTCACTGTAGACAAGCCATGATCTGCTTATCTGTTCTCCATTTTTCATTTGGATGAAATAATAGCTGCATGAATCATGACAGCAGACAAGATAGAGGAGAGCAGGAGGCGGGGTTACCAATCTACTCGCTCTGGAGAGCAGAGTTCGCTGCTTTTAGATGTTGTCTCCAAAGTCTCCAGTAGCAGAAAAACGTTGCTAGATTTGGCGCTAGGAGCTTTTTAGAAAAAATAAAAGTGCCAGAGGGTCAATTAAACTAAGAGTCAATTTGAAATTAACTTTAGTTCAGATAAGTTGAGTGATTACTGAGAGGAACTGTGTGACATATCGAGAAAATTAAAGTGAAAATGCATCAGCTGAAATGTTCCTTTTGCCTTTCAGGCTGCTCCATAATTCTGAATCATTTTGATGATTAACTGCAAAAGATCAGAGAATTGTTTTAGCAGATGCATCCTGTTGACGGTTACATTTTTAAATACAGTTTAGTGCGTCTGTCAGTTCGAGACGGCTCCTGTATCCACCACGTGACTTTAAAGGTGCAGTAGGAGATCTTTTCAGATGCATTTTTTTTTTACCATGTGGCTTAAAGATCTCCCCACAGCCGCTTAATAAGCAGTGAAATAGAAGGTCTGGAAGTGAAGCTAAAATAATTGGTCCCCTCTACAGTGGGAAATCAATGAATAACTCCAACCAATCACAAAAAACAGTCCGATGTTCGCTGTTTGTTCCTGACACGTCAATCATGGTCGTCTACTTGTCCCTCTACCCTGTGAGCGTACCCTGACAAATGATCGAATGACCCCCAATGCTCATGCAGGACGCCATGACTGGAAGCTAGCCACTGCTATGCTACGTTCACACCTAAAGCAGAAGGAGCAACACAGAGACAGACAGAAAAAACAACCATTCACACACTTAAGGAGAATTCAGAGAAGCCATTTAACCTAACAGTCATGTTTCTGAACTGTGGGAGGAAGCCGGAGTAACCAGAGAGAGAACCCACGCATGCTCAGGGAGAACATGCAAACTCCATGAAGTAATACCCCGGGCCAGGAATCGAACCTGGAACCTTCTTGCTGCAAGCTACCATCTGCTCCACTGAGCAGCCCAGGATAATAAAAGCGAACATGTTTAGCCGGCAGGTTTCTGCATTTTTAATGAATTTAGGCGTTAATAAATAGTTAAACGCTCTGTATCATCAGTACTGACTGTCTCCCTGCCAGCTCCAACATCGGCGAAGCGCTGCTCCTCCTGCTCTAGCCGCGCTGCAGACAGCATGCGGGTTCATGTCTGAAGGGAGAGGCATGGTTGTGTATGTTCAAAAATATAGCTTGCTGGAACCGTTTTTCCAAGATGTCGCTGCCAGGACAGGCAGGCAGCGACACTTCTGCTCCTGTTTAAAGTTTCTGTAACCTGTTGGTTAAAGGGGAACAACGTTTTTTTTACATCGGACCCTTGATTTTATGTTATTCCATCATGTTCTACTCGCCCATATTGAGTTTTGTGTCATTTGGAGCCATTCTGAAGATATTCCGTTAGGTTATATCCAATAACCATAGAAAGACGTTATTTGGATATTTTTTATATTTATGTTTTAAAAACAAAGCGGAGTGTGTATGACGTCATCGGCGCGCCGCACTGGAGTAGTGACAGGCAGCCCGGGCCGCAGGCGGCTACTCTCCACCCGTTCAATTCCATTTGGAGAGCGAGATCATCTGTGGTAGCAGCACTAGACATCTTCCAGGCATGAGAGGAAAACTAGCAGCAGTTCAGCGGACGGTAACCGGCACGTGTGGATGACGTCATACACACTCCGCTTTGTTTTTAAAAGATATAAATATAAAAATCTAACGGCGGATGTCTGGGGGACAGTGATTGACCTCCATGTTCTGAATGCTGGCGTACCGTAAAGAATAAATGATGAACAGTTTAGTTTGTGCCTTTAAGTCGTTGCCCAGAGGAAGACGTTACTGGATATAACCTAACGGAATATCTTCAGAACGGCTCCAAATGACACTAAACTCATATGGGTGAGTAGAACATGATGGAATAACGGAAAATCAAGGGACCAATGAAAAAATAAAAAATAAAAAACTGCGTTCCCCTTTAATAATCGATGGGTCAGTCGATCTAACACCTGTTGTTCTGTTTGAGTACAATCACTGGATCAAACCTTTTCTAACATAACATGATGAGTGATAAAATGATGCCTGAATACTGCTGATATCAGTAAATACTCAGAGCTGCACTATTTAAAAAGTTGTATTGGGACAACAACATACAGCTGGGCAATGCCTGTGTAGCAGAAAATCTGAGGTTCTGGGATTGTCACCTTTAAAGTTACCTCAGGTAAGACCCTATGGAAAGACGTTTGGTCTTTAATCATCCTCCTGCAGTTTATGTTTATGCATTTAGCAGACGCTTTTATCCACAGCAGGCATTGGCGTGGAGTGTGTTGCTTAAAGACCCACGCTGGCAGCTCAATCCCCCGGCGGGGATTCCAACCCAGGGTCTCCTGACCACTTCAGCTAGCCAGCCCAATTTAAAATCGTTCTGGCAATAATTTAGCATCACTTCACACGTAGTTTAAAGTAAAAGTATTTTTGCATTTTTGTGAAATGATGACGCGATTCCGTCCTCAAACCATTAAAGCAGAAATAAACTGGTTTACAGTTCACATTAGTTTTTATAGACAAACCTCCATAATGAAAATGAAGTTGGTTCCATGCTCTGAAATAAAAACCTTTGCTTCATGGTTTCTCCTCCTAGAAAGCCTGAAGAACATGGACGCTGTCGTGGTATTTTCAATCAGCAGCAACACAAGGGGCTCATTGGAATAGCTTCAAAATAAAATCAGGTTATTTCTCTACCAAACCTGATTAATCTATTTTCTTTAATGAAATTAAACTGCAAACTACAGAAATTACCTTAAACTTTGAATTAAATCATTCCCACTAGGAGTTGATTGAAAAATGTAGCTTTTGCAAACTGCAAACAGGATTAGTTGATTGATTTATGTTCCTAACAGTTTAAATGCTTATTACTTCATTCATCCAGAAGGTAAAAGAAATGCTGAACCTCTTATTGTTGGAGCTTTCTCCAATCAGTGGCTGCAGATGTTGTCTGTAGTGGTCTGCCTTACAGCAGCTCTGCTGAAGCCTCTGACTGAAGACACTGAGGAGGATGATCTCTGTTGTCCAGTTTTCTTCCCTTTAGGGGCCATCTGAGGAACCAAAACAGTTTGGTTCAGTCTTAACTCTGGAAAGTTGAATGTTTAGACTCAGGCTAAATCCAGGATAAACTAACTTTATCAGAACAGTGCTGGTCTGCCTTTAGGTTCTATGAGGCTGGAGTCATGTCTGATGTCCTTTCTCTCTCTCTTCACAGTGCTGCCCTGGAGGTGGAGCTTTCTGATGACTCCTTTCCTCCCGAGGACTTTGGGATTGTATCGGGGATGCTGAATGTGAAGTGGGACAGGATTGCTCCGTATCCTTGAACTGAAATATCTTCCCTGATGCTGCCCCTCTAAAGCAGTGACCATTGTTTCTCATAATGAACATGTTAGCAATCCATAAAGATCTAATTTGAATCAAGATCTTTCAACCTTCTTCCAGGATGCTGCTGTTTATTTTACATAAGACATAAACTGATCATCCCCACATGGTTTCTGTGGGCTTCTCTGATTGGAGATCTCTAAGTCAGCTAATATAGCTAATTGGTTTTTTTCTGTCTTTATTCTTCAACCAAATCAAATCAGTTGAAGATGGCAGCAGGTGTGAGGATGGTATCGGCTTGGTGCCTGATTTTAACCACCTCACTGCCTTCAGAGGACTGTTTAGATTTCATATTTCGTGTTAAAGATCTGTTTTTTTCCCCCCATCATTTTCAAGTTTTTTATTTAACCCGTGAAATCAGAGCGAGCAACGTGTCTCATACGGTGGTGTTGCGCCCCCTGAAGGCCGGGTACTTTAACTTCACCTCTGCCTCCGTCAGCTACGTGGCCCAGGAAGGAGGGCAGGTTGTGGTAAGAGCAGCTGATCCTTTAAATCCACCACGACGTGTTTGTGGTGTAAAATATCAGATGATTCATTTTGTGTTCTGATGTTTTGAAGGTGGGCTACACCAGCGCCCCCGGCCAGGGCGGCATCCTGGCTCAGAGGGAGTTTGACCGGCGCTTCTCCCCACATTATGTAGGTTTGACTGCAGTTCTTACCTCATGAAAGTATCTGAAAACTTTTTGATTCTGTTCTCCTGCTCCCAAATCCTGGAGGGGGCAACATTTTTATCTTTGGTGCATATCCCCCCAAAAAAACATACAGAAAATATCATCAACTTCTTTTTCTAAATTAGACGCATTGTTGGCAGCATAAACACACCGTACAATTAGTTAGACTGAAGCTACTAACATGGCTCAGACCAAAGAGACGTTCAAGGACACCAGAGGAAACATTTTATGAAATCTAGAAAGGGCTACTTGGTAACTGACAGGCAGCTTAGTGAGAAAAGATCCAACTGTTGGAAAAAGCTAAACATGACTGACGGTCTCCCCCGGCAACATCTCACCTCGCAGCGTTTCAGGGATCCTAAGGAAGGTTAGAAGGCCAGCAGCCACCTGCATAGAGGCGGCACTACTGTTTCCATGGTTACTGTAGGTAATGCATTAAAGCCGGCCATACACTGTGTGATATTTTCAATTAGGGCTGCAACTAGCGATTATTTTAAAAATCGATGAATCGGCCGATTATTTTTTCGATTAATCGATGAATCTGACAAAAAATATTTTTTATATTAATATATTTATATTTATTCCAAAATAATCATTTTAGACAGAACAAACAAGCACACAAGTACAGGTTGCTCATTAACTGTCCTGGTGCAATATGAAAAATAAATGTTTGTGTTACAACTACGCAAACTTACATGAGAAATGTAGCTGTACATCCACAAAATATAGGCTACTTTGTTTCATAAAGCGCAAAAAAAGACATTTTTGTTTTTAAAAGCCCCTAAGGGGTTCAAACAATAGGCCCCCCCATTTCAACAAATGAGTTTTTTTAGACTAGAAGAGTTCTGCCTTTTAAGACAGGAAAGTATAGCAGTTAAAGTTGCTGCTTTAGAAAATACTGAACCATAGAGATAAAAATAGCCCTGTGATTCAAATTATAAATTGTATTTGGAATAAAAATGAGAGAACTAGGGGGGCTAAAAAACACATCCTCCAAAGACAGATATTTACGTGGGAATGTGGCATATAATTAATTGACATATTACTGATCTTGCTGGATTTTATTCTGCTTTACTTCCATAAATTGCAGGATCTTCTTTACTTTATCTTTGCCAGAAGATTTAAACTTTAAAAGCCTTGCCCTCATAATTTGCAAGTTAATTTATTTATAAAGGCTATTTTAATGTGATCAATCTGCGCCGTCAATCCCGGCGCATGTGCGCTTCATTTGCAGTCTGGACGCTGCGGCTCTGACTGCAGCGCTGAGAGGGACTCCTGTGGGAGCTGAGAACGGGGTTGGGATGGGGGAGGCGCCCCACGGCAGCAGCTGCCGCTGGAGGGCAAGAGTAGGAACGATACATGCTTTCACGTAAGAGTCTCCAAAAGCCGCCAGTGACACCGTAAAAAGTCGCCAGATTTGTCGCTAGTCGCTTTTTTTTTTAAATAGTCACTGGAGGGGTCTGAAAAGTCGCTAAATATAGCGACAAAGTCGCTAAGTGTGCAACACTGGCTCGCTCTGCCGTAATTTTTTTTCTTCCCCCGTTTCAGTCAAGTGGCAGTGATGACGGCGGCGGCGGATGACGCATTAATCGCTCGACACAACTAATCGATAATAAAATTTGTTGCCAACGCTTTTAAAAGTTGATTTTTATCTATTTTATTGATTCGTTGTTGCAGCCCTGTTTTCAATCGTTGCACGCAGCTACAGCTCAGACTGCACGGCGAAACCGCAGGGTTTAAAAGTTCCCAGCTCACCATGTTTGTTCTCACACTGTGTGACTCGACGCTCTGATGCGATCTACCTGCTCACACTGTACGTCTAAAAACCAGGTGGGACTCGGCTCCGCAGTGAGACTTGGACTTGTCTATCCGGAAGGCAAACCAGTAGAAGGGGAATATGAAGCTCACTAGAGCGAAACGCGCTGCCTTGGATATTTGTGAGATTTTGTGTTGAAAGCCTGTGAGGGACCAAACTTAAATAAGGACAAAAGGTGTTCAAAATTTGAAAAAGTGCTTTTATTTAATTGTGTCAAAAATGGTTAACAAAGGCTCAAAAGCAACACAAAATAACAAATACAAATAACATGAATCTGGGCCCAACTTAACTGAGGTCAACTGAGGATCCAACTCAGACAAAAAAAACTGACCTGCAAACAAAGAACTAAAGGCTGCTTAAAAAGGGATGGAGTAACCCAAGTCTACCACAAAACAAAAGAACCAATAAATACAAAGTTAACCAATCTATGAAACGAATAAAGCAAAACTAACTTTTACTTAGCAGAAACAATGAGTATTTAAGTGACAAACTAATTAAACTTGAAGCAAGTCTCCCCCGTCAGTCTTTCAAAAATGGTACGCTCCAGGTTTCCTCCTCCAGCTGGTTTGCATCAGCAGCACCTCAAAAGAACAAGTGTAAATAAACCATTCAGACGGACATTAACTAAAGTGTGCACCCATTAGAAAATACCTGTCTAAAAGAAACAACCAACTTAAACATAAACTGTAATATAATATAAAACAAGAAAAAAATACTAACACGATGTGGTGGTGGGAGGATCATCCACCACAAAGACATGGCTGAGGAAACAGGGCTACTACGGTCAGTTTTACAGAATAAACTCTATTCCACTCGCTGCTTTGCTTTCATCTGAGAGGAAGAAGAAGAATCCTTGTTTTCCCACTGAGCGATTTCCCCACGACCACCTTACGACGGCCGCCTGAATTTCAAACATGTTTGATTTTCTCCCGACCTTACGATTCCTGATAGGGAGGTGGTCGTTAGAGGCTGATCGCCCCTCGTTACCCCCTCTACACGACACCACGCACCATCAGGCTCAAAGACGGCCACATCGAAAAAATCTTGCACGAGTTGAGAAAATCAAAAATTCGTACAGTGTACGCCCGGCTTAACACGTCATGGAATAAAATCCTGCATGGTTTTAAAATCGGCATATGTCCAGGTCCCTTATTCAGATGATCCTCGGGGGGGGCATGGGAGAAAATTAACAGGTCTTAATTCAACACGCCATGTTTGATAGATGAAGAATCCAGAGAAACATTCCAAAAAGTTTAAAAAAAATACAACAAATGACCTGATGACTGAGAATCTTCACTAGTGTCCCAAAAACACTGTGAAGCATGGAGCTGGAAGCATCATGCTCTGGAGACGCTTTCTGTGTGACAGGATGACTGATGCCGTTTATTGGGAGATTTGAGGGAACGACCTCCTTCTTTCAGAGCGGTAAAGATGGTTCCTCCATCATGATGAAGAGCTAAAGCTCAGCCAGGAGTGGCTCTTTAAGAAGCTCATCAGGTCTCTGCTGTGGCCTAGCCAGTCCCCAGACCTAAACTGTATAGATGATCTTTGGAGCTAAAACTGTTTCTCAGCGTATGAGAAACCTGGCGTATCTAGAGTAGATCTGTGTGGAGGAATGGGCCAGAATCCCTGGTGCAGTCTGATTAAACCTGGAGAAAAACTACAGGAAACGTTTGACCTCTAGTAGCAAACGAAGGCTACTGTAACAAATCTTTTCACAGCTGTTTAAATGCTTCTGTGCAGCATGTTTCTCACAGTGAACACCTAAAACATCAGATTCCTCCATGATTTGGAAGGTGGAGAACTCGCAGAATCACAGAATGTTCAAATAATTTTAAATATATTCCTTTTGTGATAAGTTGTATTTATGCATTTTATTAATTTGCAACATTATTTTCATGAATTTGTCTCTTTTATTTCTGTTAGCTGGACTGGGCTGCGTTTGGGGTGATGACTCTGCCTTCCATCGGGATTCCTCTGCTCCTCTGGTACTCCAGTAAGAGGAAATATGACTCTCCAAAAACCAAGAAGAACTAAGGACTGGTTCCCGGGGGGTGGGGGGGGACTCGAAGTAAAGGTGGTGATGGACAGTTACCAGGAAAAAACGATCCGAGGAGTGGAAATACGTCTACGGTTAGATGGTCTGGATGGAAGAACTTGGGTTTCTACTTTTCCACTGATGTAAAATCATGTAATTGTTATGAATTTAATGTAATAATTCTGTTCAATTACAATAATTTGTTTTTTTTTTATCTTCCGTTTCCGTTTACTGGAACAACAAAATAAGAGACTTTAATTTTTGCAGGATCACAGTCGGATGTCAGAGCTGCTGGCTTTCTTTCCTGCAGCTTTTAGTGAGAAACGATGCAAACGCTGGAAGGATCATTTATGGTCCTGAAGGCTCAGGCAGGCAGAGGCCTGCTGGATTTAGTTTATTCTGAAAGATGGGGGAATAACGCTTTTCTTTTTTTTTTTAAACTTTAACAAATAAACTGATAATTGGATCATCGTTTACATTTTTAAGAAACATGAAAATGTGGCGAGGTAAATGGGGATTATTTGGGGTTAAAAGTGAAAAGTTCTATTTGTGGTTTATGTGTTTTCTTAAGTTTTTAATGGGTGGCTGTTGTCATGGTGACCACTGGATGAGCTTTTCTGAAGAAGAAAAAAAAGCAGTTTAACAGGTTCAGGCTTCTAAGAATGGAGGGGCGGGGTTTGAGCCCAGAGGGCGAATGAGCTTCAGAGAATCACCTTCCTGTGCCGCAGGTCCTCAGGAAACAACCATCAGATGTTCCCAAAAAGTTCAAAACAAAGTTTGAAGATGTATCGCTTTCCATCCAGGATTCTTTCTCAAATAGTGCTGAGCTCCAAGCTTTATACAGTAGCCCAACAAAGCTTTGTTGCTTAGAAAACATGCAAAATGAACCAGAAGAACAGGTAACAAAGACGGTTCCTATAATCTGCAAGCTTCCTAAGGTCTGAGGGTTTCCTTCCCACGATGGAGGGCAGTATGCTGGTAAAGACCTGGATGACTGAGAATCTTCACCAGCATAAACCATCGGGTCCGTTTCACGAAGCAGGTTTACCAAAAAAAGGGAAACTGAGTTTCCTGTTTCACAAAGAGTTTCCTCCACCTCTGATTCTGTTGCCATAGTAACCTTCTCCCCAGAGCTAACCTCGTCAGCAGCAGCTTTTCTTGAGTAGACTCTGTCCTCTGTCTCCACTCTCCTTATAGACTATCACTCTGTTTTATTTCCAGTTTTCTTCATAAATATCATTCACTCGGTCTGTTAGCCTCATAAGGTTTTAAAAACAAACTTTGCAAATTTGTTTGAGGATCTTAAAAAGAATGATCGGCATTAATTCAGAGAAATATTTATAGGGAGAGGATATATTACTTTTTTGTGGTTTATATGAGCGAGATGCAGATCGTTTTATTTTTATTTACAGAACATGAACTACTGAAATTATTTTCAGATTAAACAGATTTATTAATTCAGTGCTAGGAAAAGGAATCACATTCCTCTCCTTTGCAGCTCTTTCTCTTTAGCACATTCTTTCATTTGTTCTGCATTTCTTCATTAAAATCTCTAGTTCCATTGTGGTGAAATAGGCCCTTCCTGTTGCCTGTTGTCATGGTGACTTGTCCAGTCGTTGCTCCACTGATGACTTTTCATACGCACTTGTTTAACTCTATGTGCACCTAGTTAAAATTGATTGAACTCATTCACAGCAGCCGGTGTGAAACCGAACACTCAGAGTTCCTGACTTTAGGCTGGATCCATTAAGAGGATTTTAATCAGTTTTTTAAACCTGCTTCATGAAACGGACCCCAGATGTTTTCTCTGTTCCTAATATAATGGGACTTCAACTGGAAACAGAAACCATCAATCCTGTATAGGCCTGCCATGGGGGGGGGGGGGGGGGGGGGGGGGTCAGGGTTTGGTACCAACGACCTTGTTTTTGCAAGGCAGCTGTGCTGCTGACGCCTCTGAATTCATTCCTTAGTGCTTCATCTACCTCCACCTGAAGCTCCTATGAGACAGACCTACAGAACACCATCCAATCAAAACGTCCGGGTTGATTCTGTGTTTTACTGATCCAGGTCCTCCTGGACTGAATTTCTCAGAGCTTCCTGTTCTGGGTGGAGTCTCATGCTTGGTCATCATTCCTCCTACATCAGCCTCTCCTTGGCGTCCATGGAGGGCAGTCTGCTCCTCTGTCTGTGGAGAGGATTCATCTTTGGGTGTGGTTTCCAACCTGTCTGGAATCCATGACACCAAGATGGTTGCTCTAGTTCTGTCTGATCAGACTGAGGATCATCAGCTCCTATTGGACGCCTCCTCGCTTCACCACACATAAAATAAGTTTAACTTTCTAGTAAATTCTCTGAGACTGAAGCTCCAGCAGGTAACTCTCCTGTCCCATCCTGACATCACTGCTTCTGGCTTTAGTTTGTTTCACAGCAAACCCTCTTTGCCTTCATGACGCCTCATTAGTTTCTATGGGTTAAACTTTGGTCCATTACTGCATCAAGCAGAGAACCTGTTTTGTAAATGGAAATTGGAAGAATCATGTTATCAGAGAAGAATAATCTCAAAATAATTTTTAAATCTTCATCTGAAAAAAAGAGGATTTTAGAAGAAAAAAAGTAAAATTTGAAAAACAAAAAAGGTAAAAAATAAAAACGACCACTGGACTTTAATTCTAAGTTTGAAGACGTTTCTCTTTCTCAATTCAAAATGTCAGGAATAGTGTTGAGTTCCAGGCTTTATGCAGAAGCCCATCAAAGCCTTGTAATGGCTTAGAACAGGCGTCTTCAACGTTTTCAAAGCCAAGGACCCCCAAACTGATGGCGAGGGAACCCCCTAATTATATATATTGTATGAAATTGTGTTCTATCAAACTGGTCCTATAGTCACTCTATTACAGATGGAGCCATGTAACGAAAGTCATCTCTCGCTGGGATTATTAAAGTATTTCTGATTCTGATTCCTGGTTGATGGGACAGGTGTTGTGAATGAAACGGTGCCCAGCTTGAAAGAGCTCCTGTGTGTCGCTGAATGTGTGCATAGATGACTGAAAGACATCTTCTGCTTTCATTTATCTGTTTACTACAGTGTGATGAATTCATGTTAATGTGGATTTAAAGACATTTTAATTAGTGCAAAAAATTGCAGGAGGGAATATAAAAAAAAGTAATCAACCAAGACTTTTGCGACCCCCTAGGGGTCGCGGACCCCCTGTTGAAGACCTCTGGCATAGAAAACATGCTAATTGAACTGGTCCGCAACTTAGGAATGGGGGGTCGTTGAGGTGGCCGACCAGGCGAGATGTTTTGGTCCCATGCAGAGTGACGGGGGTTCGTTTTCAATTTGCATGTTTTCTAAGCCGTAACTTCTGTATAAAGCAAATCAAGGATAATTCTGACATTTTGAATTGAAAAAGCTCCCTGGATGGAAGAGAAACGTCTTCAAACTTGGAAACCAAGTGCAGTGGATTGATCTTTAGAAAAATGTTTAATTCAAAAATCTTTTTTTTTATTTTAGTTTTAAATTTTTGCTCTGAAATCCTCTTTTTCAGATGAATTTTTAAAATTCATTTCATTAATCACGTTCTTTTCACTTTAAACCAAATAACAAACGTTGACCAGGATAATTCAAGCCAGCATCCATGTACACTGCAAAAAATTTAAATCTAAAGAATTTATTTTTTTCTTAAAACAAATGCATTTTGTCTTGAATTGAGGAGGAAAGTGAGATTTTGGAATGACCTGGATGACTGAGCATCTTCACCATCTTCAATAAAAACTTTCTGAAAATAATGAAATCAGTTACTCTCCAAACTTTTTCCGATTACAAAGATTTTCAAAGTTTCATTTTTGATTGCAGTTTTTTCTCATTTCAATTTCTGAAATTTTTAAATCCCAATTTCCATTTACAAATATTGACAACATCCATGTTCTCTTTGTCACAAGTATTGTCTCATTTAAAAAAGTACAGTCAAGTTAAACAAATCCAGGCCTGTTGTCACTTATTGACTGATGAGTGAACCATAAAATATTTAATTTGCAACACAAACAAACAGACATTAGTGGTACTGTACTGGTTGGCGGGACTGGAAACCATTAATCCCATTCTGTTTATGTACAACCTTTAGTTAGTTTAGTTTAGTACTGTCCTTGGCTGCTTAAATAAACAGAAAAAAAAGAAACAAAATGTTTAAGCTTTAAAAAATATATGAAATGATTTAGCTTCTTTAAACATTTAAAACCGTTTAAGGCACATCATATAAACAGGTTTTTACAAATCCACTTGACAAATAAAACATTTAGAAAAGTCCCCCCTCCCCCCAGATCTGAAAGTGTTTTAGGAAGGAAAAGGCTCGTCCATGTTGGACGCTGGACCCTTTCAGTCTGTGGCTCGTTCAGGAGGCCCTCAGGGATCCCGTGGAGCAGCGTGGACCCCGTGGCGCCTATCTAAGCCGTTCTATGAGCTGCTGCTGAGTCTCCGGCGCAGCAGCGAGGCGGGCCTGCTCTCCATATCCTCTGAGTCACTTTCACATCGTCTCTGTGGAAAAAAAAACAGTTTGATATTGTCAGAAGATCCGTGGTTTAAAAAAGAAAACTGATTACATGTCAGTAACTAATGGACATAAAGCACAGACAGATATTTGATCCCTGATCAGTTTAAGGTGCAGAGGAGGATTCTCGCCCTCTCCACTTTAAAAAAATGCACGTGCACAACCCTGTACCCGCTACAGAGAGGGAACACCTGTTAAACGTGTGAGACACGCATTTAATAGGCGTTCCCTCTCTGTTTAAAAGTTGCTGTTCTCATAGCTCATACAAGCTTAGTGTGTCCGACCGTCCGCCATAACCTCTTAGCCCCCCCATCACTGTATAGAGCGGGGACTATATAGTGGACTTGTATGACAACAAATCCCATAATGCTTTGCAAGGAGAGCTCTCTGCATAAAGCATTCTGGGATACATCTGCCTCTTCTGAGGCCTTTCTTTTTTGTCATCCACTTCTCATATACTTTTTCTCTTCCGACCCTCATTCGGAAGAGAACCGTGGTGAGAAAGGTGAGCTTCAATGACTGCCTGAAACTGCAGCTCACCACAGGTAAGAGCACTGAAAGTGCGCAGAAAAAGATACTTTAACAGGACGAGCACGTAGGATGGCCTTATGTAAATATATCACCGGAATGACTGACAGTTAGGAGGACCACTGATTGAGATGATCCACCCGGTAAAAGAACATCCTCCACTCTACCTCTAATGACAGAACGTGCTTCCATCAGCCTGCAGAGCACAGCTCTCTGTGGTTTCTAGCTATCAAAACCCCATATGCAGCAAACTGCTGCGCTTGCCTGAGCTACAGGCTTATTCTAGGCTGCTTCATGACCTCCATGTCATCTTCTTTTGGCCACTGTGTTGATTTTAAAGGCGTAACCCTTTCTCCTCGTGCACGCTCTGTTTAAAAGTAGAGGAACATGTGTCAACCTACTAATTTCACTTCATTCTTCATTTTGTTTGGGATCAGTCAACATAAAAAAAACTGGTTTCAGTCAAACATGATCTCACCTGTAAAGGATCTGGATTCAAGCTGCGGTTACAGTCCACTCTGAGGCTGAAGAACCGGTTACACATCCGCACCATGTTGTAGGACATCTGAAAAAGGTTAGAAATGTCTAATAATTAGTCTGCAGCATAAAGCATCGGCTGACCTTAATGTTGTATAAGCTGTTCAGTTTGCAAATGAGGAACTTATTCAGCACTACTTTGAGGCTAAGGTGACAGTGCAGCTTTCATTTATTTTTTTAGTCCATCATTACGGTAAACACCAGTTTTAAAACCCAAACAGGCCTAATGAAGCTGTTACTTAGAAAGAGGTTTTCTGCAGTTCTTTCCAACATGTCAGCTGCTATAAAAGGTAAAGCTGTTCAACGGTTTTCCAGAAAAGTTAAAAAAAACAATCCACTGGACTTTGTTTCCAAGTTTGAAGACGTTTTTCTTCCATCCAGGAAGATTTTTCAATTAAAAAAGTCAGAAATAGTGTTTAGTTCCAGGTTTTATCCAGCAGCCCAACAAAGAATTGTTTTTGTTTAGAAAACATGCAAATAGGAACGGATGAACGGGTCCCCCCCTTTGGAGTTGGCTGAAATCAGAGTCCTCCGCCTCTGTTTAAGGTCATTTTTTCTTTCTTCACATAGATGGCTTCCTTCACCTCTCAAACCACCTAATGTCTTTGTTCTAAATGTGTTCAAAGGTTTTCACCAAATCTGCCAAACCCTAAACTATCTGAAACTTGACCACAGCATCAATCCGCACTGTGGGGATATTCAAAATGGCTGCTTCCCTTCTGGGTCGTCCAGGGAGGAGGAGGGGATGCCTTAAATAACAGGAAAACCTTTCCTAGATGTACTTTACTTTAGAAACAGTGAAAGGAGAAGCACACTGCAAAAAATGTAAATTAAATCAGTCTCTCTTAAAATAAGTGAATTTTTCTTGAATTGAGGACGTAAGTCTCTTGGCCAATTGAACAAGACAATTTACATTTAAAATAAAAAAAATATATATATTATTTTAAGTGTATAATATCTAATTATCTTATTTCAAGGGTAAAAATGCTTATTGCATAGACAAATCCTCTTATTTTTCTACTCAAATTAAGGGTACAGACACTTAATTCAAGAGATTTTTACCAATTTTCCGAATTTTTTTTGCAGTGCAGCTTTCCTCTGCACTGGAAAAAACGATCTAGAAATAAGTAAAACATTCTTTAAATTAAGTGTATTTACCCTTAATTTGAGCAGGTAAATAAGAGAGTTTGCCAATGGAATGAGCATTTTTACTCTTAAACTAAGATAATTAGATAAAATGCACTTGAAATAGGACAATCCAATTGTGTTTTCTAATTACAAATGTAAATTGTCTTGTTCCATTGGCAAAATTTCTTTTTCTTCCTAAATCCAAGAACAAATACACTTATTTTAAGAAATAATTACTTATCTAGTTTTCGATTTTTTCCAGTGTGAGACACACCCAGACACACTTCAGACTGTTACCCAGCAAAGCAAACTGACTGGTTCCATCTGTGTGACTGGTTACCAGATACAGCACCCTGCAGTTACTGGGTAACGTAAAAAGGAAAAAGATATTTATAATCTGATTTATGGCTTCTAGAAACACAAGTTTTTTGAAACATGAGTTTAAAATTCATTTTCATAGTTCCACATTTAACTATTGGATCGTTAAAAACAGTTCTTTAATAATTTAATTGAAAAACCTTTAAATAGTTTGAAATGGTTGTATTTCTGGTCCTCCACTAACTAAGCTGTATCTATACATGTTTAAAACTAGAGGAACTTTTCTACTTCCTCAAACACGTCACTGTTGGAGAACTCAGCCACCAATGGCATCTTACCAGGATCTCTGAAATAACATCTGATAGAAAGGGTTTAAAGTAGAAACAGCTTTTTAAAATTGTTCTCAGTCAGAGTAGAAGCTGTTCTGTGAAGGTTCAGCATCAATTTCCAAATTTGAAACAGATGTTTTCTTTTCATTTATACTGACAAACTGAGGGCTTTCTGTCCGCTAACTTCCATAGTGACAGCTTATGGGGCTCTGGAACAAGCGAGAATTCTTCCTGCTTCATCCACATCTAGCACTTTAACTATGCCGTCATTTTTTTTTGCCACCCATTTGAATGTGCAGTTACCAGTCTGAGCGTGTAGTGTGAACAGTGTGCAGAGTTTAAACTCATGCATTCTCGCTCAAAGCCTGTCTAGTGCACGCGCTCAGCTCTAAAACTCAGCTTCATCTCTGCATGCACTCAGATCTCTTAAATTTAAATTTAAATCACATATAAAGCCTTAAATGGCCAAGCTCCATCTGATATCAGAGATCTGATTGTTCCTTATGTTCCTAACAGAGCACTTCGCTCTCAATCTGCAGGTTTACTAGTGGTTCATAGAATTTCTAAAAGTAGAAGGGGAGGCAGATCTTTTAGTTCTCAGGCTCCTCTCCTGTGGAACCAACTACCAGTTTTAGTCGGTGAGGCAGACACCCTGTCTACTTTTAAGGCTAGGCTTAAAACTTTCCTTTTTGATAAAGCTTCTAGTTAGAGTGGCTCAGGTTATCCTGAGCTATCTCTATAGTTCTGCTGCTATAGGCTTAGACTGCTGGAGGACATAGGGACCCCTTTTTCATCATTCTATCTCTATTCTCCCACTCCGCAGAATCTGTTAGTTCAATCTCTAACGTTCTGCTCTCTCTGCTTTTTCTCATAGTAGCTTCATCTGGTCTGTTCCTGTTTGGCTGTGACTCCATCCTGGAGAGAAATATCAGCTGTGCTGCTGCCATCAACACCTTTGTTTCTAGATGTTGGAGCTTGGCCTGTTTTCCAGTGTAGTCCTGTTTCTCTGACTGTGACTAACTGGATGTGCTCTCTTCATCCTCTGACATGGGAGCTGGCTCGGAGCTCGTCTGCCTGGCTGTGTGTTTCCTGGACGGGGCCGCCTGTGGAGCTGGTTGACAGTTGCCTTTTGTATCTATGCTTCTTTTTCTATGTCTGCTTCTGTCTCCTTGAACCCCAGTGGGCCTCAGCAGATGGCCGCTCACACTGAGCCTGGTTCTGCTGGAGGTTTCTCCCTGTTAAAAGGGAGTTTTTCCTCTCCACTGTCGCTACAAGCTTGCTTAGTGTGAGGGATTGCTGAAGAGTCAATGAGTCGATGCAATCAGCTGGTTTTCCTTAGATAGAAAACTTTGAATCAACCTGACTGGATGATCTGGTGAACTGGAAAGAGCCTTGAGATGACATGATGTGAATTGGAGCTATAGAAATAAACTGAATCGAATTGCTTCCTCTCATAGATGCATTTGGCAAAAACTTCAAAGACACTCTAGGTGCTGCAGGACGCACCTCAACATCTCAACCTGCCACCGAGATGCTAAGGCAGACCCCGGTGTAGGTACCAGATTGACTCGGGCTGCCAGATTGACTCGGGGGCCTGCGCCTTTTGATGACGTCACAATACATAATTGTTTTAACGTTTGCACAATTGCGCAAAACATTTTGATTGGTCTGGACAGCTTACTAAAGTAATTATAGCGGGGTGTAGGTTTTATTCGAAAGCGGGATTGCTGTTTGTAAACGGACAATTTTACGAAGACATTCTCCATGGTCCCTGCGCCTTCTGATGACGTCACCGAATTCGCCATGGGCCTTGCGCCTCCCGATGACGTGACATTATGGCAATGCCACTCAAACAAACTACATTGAGCCCGCGGTCTGCATTTGTAACGAGAATAAATTCAGGAGAATGAAGCTAAAGGGATACAAAAAATAAACTTGTAATATTACAAAACCAAAAATACTACGAATACAAAGTATATTCAGAGATTAAAGTCCCTCTGATACTGTTTAAGTGACTGAGAAACTGCAGATTTGCCACATTTAAGATGGCGGACGCTCTGACGCATCTCAAAAGGCGCAGGCCCCCGAGTCAATCTGGCAGCCCGAGTCAATCTGGTACCTACACCGGCCGCCGTGCTTAGCTAGCTAACTTCACCTGCTTCAAACTGAGGATGTTACACTGGAAAAAATGAAATCTAGGTAAGTGATTTTTTCTTAAAATAAGTAAATTTTGTTCTTGGATTGCGGAGGAAAAAGAGACCTTTTGCCAATGAAACAAGACAATTATTACTTAAAACAAGAAAACACAATGGCATTGTCTTATTTAATGTCCATTTTATCTAATTATCTTATTTTAAGAGAATGTATGCTTATTCCATTGGCAAACTATCTCATTTACCTACCCAAATTAAGGGTACATACACTTAATTTAAGAAATTTGTACTTATTTCTAGATAATTTTTCCAGTGTACTGCAGGCTCTGTGAGACAAGCATGAAATGCAAAAGACGAATCATTAAAGCTTATAAAAATTCTGACTCACCTTCCATTTTCTTTTGGCGTTAAATTTCCTAAAGCTCTTCATATTGATTGAAGATCGGCTCCTTTTGGCTGCTTGCGTGCGAGTGATGGGCTAAAACAGACAACAAACTGGTCAGTGAGTCCCAGCTGCAACGTGACGTCAGAGGATCTGAGAAACATTTCCTACCTTAATCCATGGATGAAGGAGACACTGTTCAGCCGTCATTCTTTCACTGCAACAAAAAGAATCAAAACTCAGTGGTTGCACTGCAAAAAATTTACTTTTAACTAAGTAATTTTTTTCTTAAAATAAGGTTTTTTTTTCTTGGAGGTAAGTGACACACTGCCAATGGAACAATTCAATTTACATTCAAAATAAGAAAAAAACAATTGCATCGTCTTATTTCCAGTGCCTCATATTTAATTTTCTTTTATTAAGAGTAAAAATACTAATTCCATCGGTAAAACATCTTAACCTACTCACTTTAAGAGGAAATAGACTTATTGTAAAAAAGTTTTGCTTAGTTCTAGATCATTTTTCACTGTTTTTCAGTCAATATAAACAGCATCAAAGTCTAACTTACTGCAAAAACGATCTAGAAAAAGCTAAAATTACTCTTAAATTAATTTTATTCACCCTTAATTTGAGTAGGTTAACCCTATAATGCCAAATGTATCATATTTGATACATACGGTTTCTGAAATGTTTTGCATCTGACACCTTTTGCATAATTTATTGGTAAAAACTTTGCTCAAAATCCTATTGTACACAATCAGATATACCTGATAACAGCCAGTAGAAGACTACACAAAAAATAATATTGACTTATCGCATAGGAATAAATTATTAATATCAAAAATGTATTCTTTTTGTATATTTTTACATATTTTGTTAAAAGGCCAAATAAGGACTTCAAATCAAATAAAAAGTAATTTTCTGTCTTGTTTCATTCTTGGATCGGGCTTTAAAGGGTTAATAAGATGATTTGCCAATGAAACGAGTATTTTTAGTCTTAAAGTAAGATAATATGGACTTAAGATAAGGCTATGCAGTCGTTTTTTTGGGGCAGCACCGAGTCCAACACAAAGAAATCAATTGTCTTGATGATTTTTTTTTTTTTTTACTACCAACAGGCCATAATGTAAACTAACAGGTCTATTTTTAAATATAAGGAACAGAAGTAAAAAAGTTGTCTAAAAAAATAATTACTCCAGTAAAGTATAGATGGCCGAGTAAACTAAGTAAAGTAATAAAGTATTTACACTTTGTTATTGGACACATCTGGAGGTTTCAGACATACCTGGGATCTTTGATTAAAAGTTTCATGATGAAATCTTTGGCCATAGAGCTGGTCATGCTGAAGTACTGCTTCTCAAAATGATAATTGGTAGCGATGACGTTCCTCAGAGTCTCTTCATCCGTGTCACCTTGGAACGGAGACAAACCACTTAATCTGAGGGGGGAAAGCACAGGATTAGAGGGATTATATGGTGGGAATATCCCTGTTATCCCAGCATGCGCCTCATGCATCTGAATCATTAACTGTTTTTATTGAATTTATCAAAGTAGGTCAGACCTTTACGTTAAAAGCCGGTGAAATATTCTATCATCTGTTATTCTTTGAGATTTCTGAACTGTTTTATTGAAATGCACTTATTTTGCTTTTTATTAAAACTTGTTATAAAGTGCTGTGAATGTCGCGCTCACTTAGCTTCAGGAGGCTAGAAACTCTGCTTGAATGTGAAGCTAGTTTTCTAATAAGACGTTCCAGATCGTCTATCTAATAAACATTACACTTTAAATTATCGTTTGAATCATTACTTAGTATTTCAGAGCATCCTTAATCTGTTTGGGTTTTTGCCAAGCTTTTGATTCACAACTAAAAATGTTGAAAAGCTCTTAATGTTTTGCCCATTACTTGGATTTTTGTATTTGAATTATAGAAAGTTATTTATTTTCTTCACTAATGTTGTTCTTTACCCAATTTATTCTCTTGTGTTCAGATCCTTCACTTTTTTGTTTGTGTCGGTTTAAATAAATTGGAAGAAATTAATATTTCTGGAATAAAAAAGTAAAAAAAAAATAAAACTTTATCTTTTTTGACATGAATTTTACTCCACTATCTTATTTTAGGGGCCTAAATAATAATTCCTTTACCAGTTAATTAGCATTATTTTCTCATATGGTGTGTAAAAAAACACTTTTATCTACTTATTTTTAGATGTTTTTTTTGCACTTAATCAATAATATCTGTTGTTTCCTCCATCGTCTTGTAGAGATGGAGAGGTGCTCTGTAATGATTCGTAGAGGCTAAAGTCTGTTCTCCTGAAGGGATGATGTCCCATGATGTCATCATGATGTCATCCTTTGATCAAAACTAAACTTTAATTTAGATTTTCTTCTGACTCCTATCAAATGTCAGCCTTTTAACCAGAGATCGTCACTTTTTTAAGCGTTCAGCTGTTTGCTGCCCGTCCCTTGTGTTTCCATGGCAACGCTCTGAGTTCTACCTGGTTGGTTTTAAAGGTTTTATTTCAGAGACCTTTGAAATGATATTTTCCCCATAATGCTTCCATTTTGAAACAAAGCACTGTATAGTTCTTTATTTTAAGTTGGATTGTTTTAGCAATCTCCTTTGGTTTATTCTGAGCTGGTCGATGATGTCATCCTCCAAACCGATTAAAATCACAGACAAATGCAGCCAATCTGAAGCTGACGTGGCCGCAGAAAACGTATTGATGCCTGTTTCCAGGAAGTGTCTTCCTTTGACCTGGAAGTCAGACTCCGCCCTCTCTGTATTAAAAATGGATATCAGAAATGAGATCCTGTCTAACATTAGAGAAGATCACGTATGTCATGAAAAACAAATAGGACTTTTTAAAAATGTGGGAACCTTTCATTGAGTATCTAGAGAAACTACCGTTACAAGCTTTAGTCCTGCTGTAAACTTTGTGCTATTATTAACAAACACCAAGGCCCAAAGTGTTGAAAGAACGTGGTATGTATGTAAGACAGTTTTATATCTATAATTTACTTTGCTGGTTTGTTTTTTTTTTTTTTTTTTTTTAATTTAAATTTGTTTACTTTTTTCCTCTCTCATTTCTCTTTCAACTTTCTAAATTAGCTGTCAACTCCCTTTTTTGATAACTTGTCTTTTCCATATTATATATTATCACGATTTGTTTTGTTTTTTAAATGGGACTAAGCTGTATTGTTTTTTAAAAACTGAAAAACTCAAAATAAAATAACGTTTAAAAAAATCTTAAGAAGCATCCTCTGATATGATTAAGTACGAGCAGCAGTGCGCTAAATGTGCTGAGCTATCTCTATAGTTCTGCTGCTATAGGCTTAGACTGCTGGAGGACATAGGGACCCCTTTTTCATCATTCTGCTTCATTCTATCTCTATTCTCCCACTCTGCAGAATCTGTTAGTTCAATCTCTAACGTTCTGCTCTCTCTGCTTTTTCTCATAGTAGCTTCATCTGGTCTGTTCCTGTTTGGCTGTGACTCCATCCTGGAGAGAAATATCAGCTGTGCTGCTGCCATCAACACCTTTGTTTCTAGATGTTGGAGCTTGGCCTGTTTTCCAGTGTAGTCCTGTTTCTCTGACTGCGACTAACTGGATGTGCTCTTTTCATCCTCTGACATGGGAGCTGGCTCGGAGCTCGTCTGCCTGGCTGTGTGTTTCCTGGACGGGGCCGCCTTTTAAAGTTGCCTTTTGTATCTATGCTTCTTTTTCTATGTCTGCTTCTGTCTCCTTGAACCCCAGTGGGCCTCAGCAGATGGCCGCTCACACTGAGCCTGGTTCTGCTGGAGGTTTCTTCCTGTTCAAAGAGAGTTTTCCTCTCCACTGTCGCTACAAGCATGCTTAATGTGAGGAATTGCTTGGAGTCAATGCAATCAACTGGTTTTCCTTGGATAGAAAACTTTGAATCAATCTGACTGGATGATCTGGTTTAACTGGAAAGTGCCTTGAGATGACATGTGTTGTTAATTGGCGCTATAGAAATAAACTGAATTGAAGTAATTGCAGTAATTATCCAATTAGCTTCATTACTGTTGTTCTGGAAGAGTAGATGATGCTTTATAGAAACTCTCAGCCAGTCATCATTTTCTGTAATGAATAACCATTAGAGCCCCCCCCCCCCCCCCCACCATATAAAAAGCCCAACAGATTACATGCAACAGTGTGCAGCATTCAGTGCCTGCAGGTACTTACAAGTCACCCAATACAAAGACTCACAGTATATAGGTAATAACTCCAATGCTCCTGAAGAGACAGAAACACAGGGGGTGGTCAACGGTTTGGAGATGCTTTTTAAACAGGAAACTTCACTAACTTCACAAGAGGAACAATAATAATGATAATAGTAATATGTCTAAACATTTCCACATGTTAGAAAGTTCCAGCTTTCCATAAGGAGATGTTCTGCTCTGAGTATGAGGACGTTTCTCACCACATGTCTGCCGCTGTGCTCAGAGGCTCGTTGTTTATCACCTCGGGTGCTGAAAGACAAACAGGAATCTCTGTTAAACTGGTGAACACGGAAGTGGGAAGAAGATTGTTTAGGTTTTTTAAATTTTTCATGGGGATTTTTTATCATTCTGTCAGTTTTCAGATTCCTACGCTGCAGAGAAGCTCCTGACATCCAACCTTTCTATTTAGTTTGACGCCTTAAAAGTGTTGGAACAACAAACTTGGATGATGTTAAAAGACAGAACAAGACACTGCAAAAATTATCTAGAATTAAGTCAAAATGTCTTAAATTACGTGTATTTACTCTTAATTTGAGTAGTTAAATAAGATGATCTGCCAATAGAGTTATTTTAACTTTTCAAATAAGATAATTATATCATTTTCACTTGAGATAAGACAATGCAGTTATTCTTTCTTATTTGAAATGTCTTGTTCCATTGGCAAAGTGTCTCACTTACCTCATCGGTTCAAGAACAAATGCACTTATTTTAGGAAAAAATTACTTATATAGAGTTTATTTCTTTGCAGCGAAGTAAGAAAGCCCAAAATGTGACAGAAGTGTTGCAGATATTTTCATCTTTTTTCTGCAGGCGGTTATAATCTGTAAAGGTGTATGAAGCCCATCTGGATCTGAAACATTTTTAATATTCTCTGTACTTTAAAATAAAAGGTTAATAGCAACAAAAATGAAGCACTATATGATTTTATTTGGTCTTTATTTGTAACTTTGGCTTTTTTAGCTGAGGAGCTTATTCCAGCCTGGTGGACGATAAAAATATACATCGTATTCTATGCACAGGGGTGTATTTAGGAAATGTGGGGCCCTAGGCAAAGACAGGCAGGGGGCCCTCTGAATGGAGAAGACATCAAACAGCCCCTTCTCCAGATAGAGAAATGTTAATAGAATAGACATCCATTATCTGTTCTAGGTTGTGTCCCTCTCTTCTTGTCCCTTTTCTTCTTGTTTTCCTCTCTATGTTTTGTACTCAGCTGACTTTTCATGCTGTCTCTAAAGGAATGAAAGATTTTTTCCAAGCACTAAGTTCACTTAGCTGATTGCTCCTTCCTGTGTTTCCAAAAAGGCCAAAGTAAATAACCCAGTCCTTCTTTTCACTGTAGACAAGCCATGATCTGCTTATCTGTTCTCCATTTTTCATTTGGATGAAATAATAGCTGCATGAATCATGACAGCAGACAAGATAGAGGAGAGCAGGAGGCGGGGTTACCAATCTACTTGCTCTGGAGAGCAGAGTTCGCTGCTTTTAGATGTTGTCTCCAAAGTCTCCAGTAGCAGAAAAAAGTCTCTAGATTTGGCGCTAGGAGCTTTTTAGAAATCAAAGTGCTAGAGGGTCTGAAAAGTGGCTAAATATAGCGACTAAAGCGCTAAGTTGGCAACACTGCTCTTTGCATGGTTTGTTTTCAAATGGTTTGCTGCTGTCTGTTTGGACCTTTCTGAACACGTGCAGCAAATGGACTGATCCAATATGGTGGACACTGAAGGGGGGGCTGAGACACACTATTATCATCAGTGTTCTGATGGCATTTTAATGAAAGGATTTTTATCAACACCATAATATAGTTGTATTAACCATACATGTAAACAGAGTTCCAGGCAGTTGCCTAGTTTTGCATAATGGTAAATCCTCCCCTGTCTATACATCATATTCTATATTCTTCTATCTATGTCCTTTAGTCTCAGTCTTCTCCCATGATAGTAATCTGGTTCTCCTGCAGCTGAACAGTACACAGCGTTCCCTTGCAAGTTGCTGCTTGTAGGTTTTACATTTGTTCTTAAACGCTCAATGGTGGGCGTTTTCTCCCACTTTTCAGCGTCTTTCTCTATTAAAACAGCTGCTTGCTGTTCCCTGCAGCAAAAATTGAAGAAGAAAAAAAAGATTTACCCAAAAACGATTCCTTGAAAGTAAGTAAGGAAGCTGAGGTAATAATGCAAGAGGGGTGGATTTCTCTGGAGTAAAATAAACGGGTCTGACTGCTCTGGGTCGACCTGGAATGTTTTATTTGAATGAATGACATGAATGGATCTGACTGAATGTAATCAATGCTTTTGCTCTTATTTAGATAAAAATATTATGAAATATAGAACATCAATGCAGGCGGATGTTTTCAATCCCAATGACAATAATGAAAGCAGAAAACCGATGAACAACAAGGCACTAATGAAAAAAACAACTAATAGTGTTGCACCGATAGTGATACCATCGGCGAGTACCAAATAATAGGTCACCAATACCATTTTGAGAGCCAAAAGTTTATTCAACTATTGTCACCCATTCCAGGTAGGCAATAAAAAGTTCTACTGGATTCACTTTGTTTTAGTCTTATTCCTGCATCACAAAGGTAGGCAGCAGCTTGACATGAAGCCATGATGGTGATTATTTTACATCCAAGCAGTCTGCAGTTCTTTATAAATACACACATCAATTTCAACCAGATGGTATCGGTATCGGCTGATACTGCACGGCCAGGTATCGGTCATCGGGGCCAAAAAATGGCATCGGCGCAAAATCAATAAATCTTTGAATTATCTTTTCAATAAATCAATCAATAATCGGATAGCAAAGCGTTCCTTAAAGAAGATTTTGGTTAGAGCAGATTGACATTTATGTTTTTATCTTAAATGCAAAATGTTTATACATATTTTTTAAATGTTGATATAATTACTGCTCTAAGTGGGTCGCTCTGTCATGTTTTAAAGTCTTTATACTCCAGTTCATGATTAATTGATTACTAAATTAGGTGATTATTTAAATAATCAATTAATCTGATTAACTGTTTCGGCCCTAAAACAACACGTGGAAAGATATGTTTCTCCAAATAACATGGTTATTGAGGCTTTTCTGATCCAAAATTGATATTGGAAATTTGTCCAATATCAGCTCAAAACATTGGATAATTGGCTTCCCTTTAAAATCTGTAATAGAAGCACAATGTTAAAATATTCTGATTCAGCATTTAGTCTGTTTCAGAGGGAGAGGGACTCCTGACATGGGCGTCAAAACTACACTACATTGACAGAATACTTAGAAGTCTAAAAATTCCACTCTATGTTTTCTGAGAGGGGAGTCTGGCTGCAAACCTGCACAATGTGGTCTCCTGCACTGTCAGGACTGGTAGTTTATTCTGGAAGTTTTATTTGAATCCTTCTGGAATAGCGTGTAAGACATATGTGCTGTCTGATTTTATTAGAAAATAAAGACATTTTTTTGCAAGGTGAATGCTCACTTAAATCTGCCTTTTCTCTACTTTTCACCACTTAAATGTATAGAGGACGAACTTTCGTTGGATCACCTAAATAACTGGTCCTCCTAACTGTCAATCATTCTGGTGATATGTTTACGTAAGGCCTTTGAAAATGGCCGAAGGTCATAAGAGAAAAAGTGTCTATGAAGTGTATGAGAAGAAAAGAAAGGCCTCAGAAGAGGCAGATATATCCCAGAATGCTTTGCAAGGAGTATGATCTATGAGAACAGCAACCTTTAAACAGAGCGTGCACGAGGAGAAATGGGCTCGTGCACGCTCTCACACGCGTTTAATAGGCGTTCCCTGTCGGGAGCGGGTACAGGGTTTATTATGTGCATATTTTAAATTTGTGAAAATCCTCCAAAATACCTTTAAAGACTTTGACTTCCACTGGCACTTCGCCTAAAGTTAAACGCAGCATCATGCTGTGAAATCTGCTGTTTCAACAATAAAAATTATTCCAATAAAATAAAATAAATAGACATTTGAAAGTGTGTTGGGAAATGTGTGGAAGAACAGAACAAACAATACTAAAAGAATAAAGAATATAATAATGGCAAACACACATAAGAGATGTCTTTATAAAAGAATCGAGTTAATTTTTTTTTTTTTTTTTTTACATTTTCCTGTGTTTTTTCAACCTAATCCAGTTGAACTGGAAAGAGGTTATATATACATTTTTAAATGCATGAATAGACAAAAATACGTCTTATTATAAAAACCCAGGAAAACTAGCCTTTATTTGATTTAGATTTTTCTTATAAAGGCTTCAAATAAACTTCTGGTTCTGACAACGAAGTGTCGTGATAGTGCAGGTCTGCAGACTCTTGTGTTTTCCTGGTTACCCACAACTTTCTACAAAGAAACATCAGTTCCTCTTATATCTCACCATGTCTGGCCTTTACTATGAACCTTTTTTCATAAATAAGCACATATCTTTTTTCCATGAAGATTTAATTTTTGGGGAAAACCTGGACTGTTGTTTTACCAATCCATTCCTTAGGTTCCATAGCTCAGAATGATTTCATTTCATTTCTTTCTGTTTTTAGATATTTGCTCATAACTGCTAAACTAGCTGCAAATATTTAGGACCTGATCTTCAGAGATTCCAAATAAAAGGCGCTAAATTACATTCAACTGTTTTTTTAGTACGTGCAATAAATGGGTGTGTTGTGGTGTGTGTTCTACTGGCAGACTGAAGGTGGCTGTAAAAGAAAGATAAGGTTCTAAGCCATGGAGATGAAGGTTATAATGATAAACAATAATAAGCATGAAAGTACTAAATATTTATAGTACAGCGGAAATAGGTAGGCTTCTGAAATCAACTGGATCTTACAAGCTTAACATTTTGCTTTTGAACAAGAATGGAAAAAAATAGATAAATAAATAAAACGTTGGTTGATGACTAGTTCTCTTAATAATATCACAAGATTATATAAGCATGTTTTTCAAACATGGGTGGACCCGCTAACAACAGGCATTTGGCCCCGTCCCCACTGGCAAAAAAAGATGGTCTAATCCCTCGCTGGCAGCAGTGTGGCCCCGGTCCCTCCATTGGTGGGTCTGTTGACATCATCTCACTGGGTTAGCAGTGATGATGTCATCAGTGCAACAGAGATCAGGAAAGTAAACAATGGAGAGTGACATGAAAGAAAGCCTGGGCGTAGTCAGTGTGTTTTGTTGTTTTTCTCTATTATCTGTCTGAATCCCTCTCACCAGAGTTGCTCCATGTTTATCCAATGGATTGTTTCTGCTTGTTAGATAAGAAGTGACTGGCACAGTGTGTTGACATCTGTGCGTTGCGTTCAATGGCATCACATCATTTAGCGGGTCAACCAGGCTCTGGGGTTACCACAGCATGCAGATCGAAGCCGAGGCAATTTTAACGCAGGTCACTTGCTGAGTCGTTTGACCCGGGTCGATACGCGTCAGTGAGCTGTTACCACTGCCACTAAAAGCGATGGTTCACGGGTTTAATCAGGTTTTACAGCCAGTTGAAAAGGGGTATATGTCAGCTTTAAACAGAGAAGTCAGCATTGGAAGTGGCGCCATGACGGTTAGCCTTGGAGAATGAAGGAAAGGAGAACTATTGACCTCAGTAATATATCTCATGACTGCTTTAGATGACATGGTGGGTGTGTGTTTTTGTGGCCTTGTTTTTTTTCTACATGTTGGGGACAGTTTTTAGTTAAAACGCTACATCATGGGGCCTCGTGGGGGCCAACGCCTGGTCCAACTGGGGGAGATTACAGTTTTACACTTAGGTGTTCAGTTTGGGCTAAGTTGTCAGGAATTAACCCATAATGGTTAGGTTAAGGTAAGGGTTGTGGTTAAGCTGTAGAAACTACCTACAAATGAACTGAAGTCAATGGAAAGTCCCCACAGAAACACAGAAATCTGACATTTGTGGGTTTTGTTTTTTGTTTTTTTACCTTGTGGGGATGATTTCCCGGGAATATACTACATTTTGAGGATTTATAGGCATTTGTAGGGACCAACAACCCATAAGGAAAGGCTGTCTTATTGGGGTGAGGGGTTGAATTAAGCATTACTAAAGTATGACTAAATTTAGGTTAGGGTTAGGCCATAGAAATTAGTGGAAGTCACTGGAAGATCCCCAAAGTGAGGTGTTAGGGTGTTTGGTGCGTGTCATTTTCCTTCAACAACCTTCTCTAAAAGCTTCTCTATTTGACCCAGCACGGTTTTCACCAGGTTTATCTGAACTCACCAATATACTGGGGGGTGCCACTTGTGGTTCTGTACTCCTCTCCAGGGCAAAAACGATGAGCAAGGCCGAAGTCGATGAGTTTAACGTTGAGGTGCGGGGAAGCTTTGTCTGACAGCATGATGTTTTCAGGCTGAATTTGGAATAGAAAGCATTTTTTTTGCAGTTTGAGGCGTTTCAAATCACATGAGCTCATCAACAGTCGGCTGTTTGTTACCTTAAGGTCAAAATGGGCGATGTTGTTGCTGTGCATGAACTTCAGTCCCTCCAGGATTTGCTTTAGAAACTCGATGGCCTCGCACTCCAGAAGGTTCTCCTTCTCAGCGATGAAGTCAAACAACTCCCCCCCGCTAACACTGCAATGTGAAACGGAGGGACGGGTAACAGATAACAGCTTCAATGGCACCAGAACCATAACGAATACACCCTGAGCAAACTTCTCATATTCAGTTTACTGCTCCTTTAGTAGTATTTCTGCCTGTGTACTGCTATTTCTGCCTTCCACAGTAGTGAAAAGGCAGTTCTTTTTATTGTCTAATATTAATCAGAGCTAACCTTATCTGTGCCGCCTTAGTTAGGATTACCAAAAATATTTTATTTGATAAATACCACAACCAAAAAAGGTCTTAATTTTTTTACTTCAGTAGTTTGAAAACTGCTCCTTATTATATAGTAGAATTCCCTTTAAACGTTAATGCTAATATTAACCATCACCCTAATTAAAAGAACAGCAGTTGGCTTGTTTAAATCCTATTTTTCTGTCAATTTTCAGTGTCTTCATGTTAATGAAGTTGCTCTTCAAGTTCAAGTTTTCTTGTGGAATACCACAGGGCTCGGTGCTGGGGCCCTTTTTTTTGCTTCCAATTTGTACAATTATTAAACAGCATGAAATAAATCCCCACTATTTCTTTAATTATATGTTTCTATTTGTTACTTCAAGGCTGGACTATTGTAATTCTTTACTATCAGGAAGTCCACAAGCTGTAGTTAAAAGCCTTCAGCTGATCCAAAATGCTGCAGCCAGAGTTCTGATGAAAATGAAAAAGAGAGATCATATCTCTCCTATCCTGGCTTCTCTTCATTGGCTTCCTGTTAAATCCAGAATAGAATTTAAAATCCTCCTTCTCACATATAAAGCCTTAAATGGCCAAGCTCCATCTGATATCAGAGATCTGATTGTTCCTTATGTTCCTAACAGAGCACTTCGCTCTCAATCTGCAGGTTTACTAGTGGTTCCTAGAATTTCTAAAAGTAGAATGGGAGGCAGATCTTTTAGTTCTCAGGCTCCTCTCCTGTGGAACCAACTACCAGTTTGAGTCCGTGAGGCAGACACCCTGTCTACTTTTAAGGCTAGGCTTAAAACTTTCCTTTTTGATAAAGCTTCTAGTTAGAGTGGCTCAGGTTATCCTGATCTATCTCTATAGTTCTGCTGCTATAGGCTTAGACTGCTGGAGGACATAGGGACCCCTTTTTCTCATTCTGCTACCTTTCCCTACCACACCTGCAAAAACAGGCAATCTGAAGCGATTGGAAGCAGTCTGACCTTCAATTAAGGACGATTGCAGTATTTTTGCTGAAGTTTATCAGAAACCTACTCATACAGACCAATACCTGTATTTACCGTATTTTCACGACTATAAGGCGCACTTAAACGTCTTTTTTTTCCCTCAAAATGTGCGGTGCGCCCTTTGGTGCGGTGCGCCCTATGTGTGTTGTAACTGCGACTTTTGAGACCACCTCATTGAGGAGATGATGAAAGAGTGGCTGAATGTAAGGAGACCAGGTGTTTTTTTTCCACTCATCACCATTAATATGTAACTCCATGCGTGCCCATCTCACAGCTGATGTGAAAAACATGGGGAAACAAATTAACGCTGTGCTCGCTGTTCAACCGCTCGACATCGGTGTGAACCGGACCCAGCAGGTGCAGCAGAAGCAGCGAGTTTACATGCAAAGTCAATGGTTGACGCGCGTATAGGTGCAGCAAAAGGTCCCGCAGCGCGTTTTGGTGCAGCACGTCGGGAGCGTTTAAGCATCTGACGCACCGCCAACGCGCTGCTGCTGCTCAGATGGAAAAATTGAAGTTTTGCTGCTGGACGCGCCGCATCAACCAATCAGAGAAGCTGATCTGGGATCTGACAGCGAGACAGACAGCGCTCTGATGACATATGATATTAAATGAAAAAGGCTGGATGGATGAGGAGATGATGAAAGGCAGGTGTATGTGAGGAGACCAGGTGCTTTTTTCCACGCATCACCATCGCTGCGTACCCATCTCACAGCCGATGTGAAAAAAAGGTGAATCAAATGAACGCTGTGCTCGCCGTTATCCCGGGGGGTCTGACAAAGGAACTTCAACCGCTTGACATCGGTGTGGAGCGGCCGTTCACAGTAAGGCTGCGAGCGGCGTGGGAGCGATGGATGACAGACGGAGACCACAGTTTCATGATAAATGGAAGGCAGCGCCGGGCAAGTTACGCCACCGTTTGCGGATGGATTGTAGATGGACTGTGTCTGCTGGCTCTGTTGTTCAAGCTTTTGCAAAAGCCGGCATTATTTCTGAGGAGCCGCGCTGCACGGAAAGTGACTGACAGCGAAGAAGGGGAAACTGGCATGTCTGATTTAGCGCAGCTGTTTTATTCAGAGGAATGCTGAGGATAACAGAGGATGATGACTTTGATGGGTTTGATTAATACTTTGTAATAAATACATGAATAAAGCACAATCATACTCAGGTTTGCTCCCGCTCTATTTTTCTACCTGAAAACTTAATTCAACAGCAGACTCTGAGCGCGTCTCCTCCTCTTCAGCGCGGTGGCTGGCAGGTGTTTTTTCATCTAAATAATCTAAATCTTGCAGCTATATTTGCTGTGATCAGTGGGAATAAAGTAGTTTTAATATGTTTTTAAGTGAGAAAGGCCACCTGAAAACTTAATAATTGCAGTCAGTTCATCCAGATGATCTATTTCTGTCGGAGGCGCTCAGACCCCCACATACCAGCGGTGCACCGACAGGAGAAATCCTTTCGTTCACCGCGGCTGCTGGCAGGTGTTTTTCATCTAAATAATTTTAGCTGCAGGCACCAGGATACCGGTAATAAAAGCGAACATATTCCGTGGGCAGGTTTCAGGATTTTAAGTTAATTTAGGAGTGATCACAGCGCTGTGTCATCTGCGATGTGTCTGTCTCACGGCCAGCTGCCAGGTTTGATTAATACTTTGTAATAAATACATGAATAAAGCACAGTCATACTCAGTTTTGCCCCCGCTGTATTTTTAAATACGCAGTAGAGGTATTTAAAGGTAGTAGAGGACATGGACCTGTATATAAAAAACGCGCCCTATAGTCAGGTGCGCCTTATGTGTGTGTTAAATACAGAAATGGGACACATAACTGAGAGTGCGCCTTTTAGTACGGTGCGCCTTATGGTCGTGAAAATACGGTAATTTAACAGCACACCCTGGAGGACTCGAAACTGGGCATTTGTTAAGTTGGTACTGTGGTTTCAGACAACTTGCCTCATTTTGATTCTAGTGGGAAAAAAATAACAAAAGAACAGATTCCACCGACCCAGGAGAACGAAGAATGGGTCTTTGATATTCATCTGACTCAAATCGAGCTTAGGATGGTGGACATCCATGGTGCTTACAAGCATCAGCACTCCACCTACAGATCACTCCAGTTTGAGCCATCAGAACTGACAAAGACTCCTGGACAGGTGTGGAAAGTCAACTTGCCTCTGATTTAAGCCTGTGTTGTGCTTACCATGACCCGGATGACTGAGACTTTGCACAGACAATCAGCATGTTAATCTCTGTTGATGTTTCCATTAGGGGATCCTATCTCACCCTTGAAAACAGAGATTACATCGCAAAATCTCTTTTTTTCAATGTTTGTTGCCTTCTTTTTTTTTTTTTTTTACTTTATTGCCTTAAACACAGATTAACAGGCAAATAGTATCACAAAGAGGAACAGGGAAAAAAACAGACAAAGAGAAAAATAAATAAATAAATAATAATAATAATTAGGTCTAATCTGTTAGAAAATGGCATTTTTTAGGCTTTCTTACTACTTTCAAATCTTAGGCTGTAGCCTAAGATTCTACCACAACTTCTTTATCCTGTGTGGTAAATAAACATAATATCTATAAAGACAGAAACAAGGATTAAGTATAGCAGTTGTATAGTAATAAGAAAGCATAAGCGACAGACAAAAGCTAATAAAACTAAAACATTTGAAGAAGAACGGATACTTACAGCTCCAGAATAAGCACCACCTCTGATCGACTCTCAAAGACGTCTTTAAGGGTCACAATGTTTGGATGGTGTAAAACCTGTAGGATCTCCACCTCTCGTTCCACACTGGTCCTGTCCAGACCCAGACGGCTGCAGGCGGTTTTTCGAATCTTAAGGAACTTTCCCGCCCAATGAGTCTTGGATGTCCTCTCCCGGACCCTCCGGACCTGACCAAAGTGCCCACTAAAGGGGGCAAGAACTTGTTAGACAACGCATTCATACGGCACAGACTGTCTTTACAGTGTCTGGATTGGATCACAGGTTTAACAGCTCTAATAATTAACATTGCTAGAAAATAAAACATTAACTTCACACCTTCATTCTTTGTTTTTTTTTTCAAGAAATTAATTTCAGAGAAAAGTAAAATGTTCCTGAGCTCATTGCAGAAAATTTGAAGCAAACTTAAACAAAATTAAAAGTTTTTAACGGAAATTTGTTTAGACCAGATGTGTCAAAATCGTTAATGTTTATTACTCAAGAAGAAGTATAAATCCTGCTGTTTAAAAACAGTTTTGCAGAAGTTAGAGGATCAAATTAAACTTTTTACTCCAGTAAAAGTGTAAAAGTACCATTTTTAAAACTACTTAAAGTATGAAAGTAGGGATGCACGATATTGGGATTTTGGCCGATATCCGATATGCCGATATTTTAAAACTCATATAGCCGATAACCGATATCGATACCGATGTTAAAGCTGGACAAAAATAAGTAGTCATTGAAAATAGCAGTTTTGTTATGCATTTCTGACACTTTGAAAAATAATATACTCAAATATATTTTCATATGCTGATATCAAATAGATTTTTAAAAACGCGGTATCGATCTATTTTACTTTCAAAATCTCGTGACATTTCATCGTTCTGTTACAAACTCTCGCGATATTTTGCAAATTCTTGTGAGATTTTGTTAGTAAAATAGATCGATACCGCGTCAATATATCAACATATAAAAATATGGCAATATTTCGTGAATTTTCGGGGGATTTCGTAGCATAACGATGACATATAGCAATATTTCATTAGTAAAAGAGATTGATATGGTGTTTTTAAATGGCAATATATCAGCATAGGAAGATATTGGGATATTTTAATGTATCAATATTTTTTCCCTCGTCTTTAGAAGTTTTTAAGTCTGTAAAAAAGAAGTTTTTGAGGAAGAAGAAGTAGTATTTTGTATTTTTTTTAGACTTTAGAAACTCAGAAGATGATCAAATATCGGGTTAAATATCGGTGGGGTGGCCGATGTCCGATATTCAGTTTTAAGGCCGATACCGATAGGGGGCCGATTATATCGTTCATCCCTAGTAACAGTGTCACATTTAACTTTGCATCATCTTGAAAAACTATTTTGGTTGAACAACAAGTTGGGGCAGCACCGAGTCCAACCACAAAGAAATTAATTGTCTGGATGAAACTAATTGTTTTGATCGTTTTTATTTATTTTTAATACCAACAGGCCATAATTAAAATGAGTTTAAAGCTACAGTGTGTAACTTTTAGCGACATCTAGCGGTCAGACTGCAGACTGCAGCAACATGAACATCTCCCCCCCACCGCTTTTCCCCCCAACAGTATGGCGAGCGTTACGGGACAAAATGTCTTCCACGACGTCCGCATCACCTACCTTCTCAAGTGATGAGGTTTGTTTACATAGATAATTTTACAGACAGTATTTCATTAGTCTGTGTAGGGTATAGATTTCAGGTAGACTTAAGATAATAAATATACCCGTTATTTTTTCTACATCGTTGTGACGTTTTGGCGATCTCTCAATCGCTAGTTTGTTGGCTCTGCGCTGCCGTAGCGCAAAGATGTCTGCCTCCATGGCTGCGAGACCCGCTCCTATGTAATTATAAATAACGAATTCTAAGGCAACGCAAATATTAAGGTTAAGAGGCTGAGCTCGTAGATGATGATAAATAACATAGTTATGTATAATATATTACATTTCTGACTGTATATCCCTGGAATTATTACACACTGTAGCTTTAAATTAAACAAAACTAACAAGTCAGTTTTTAAAATATAAGGGGTAGAAGTAAAAAGTTGTCTTAAAAATAATTACTCCAGTAAAGTATAGATAGCAACATTTATAATTAACTAAGGTAATGATGTATTTGTACTTTGTTACTTGAACCCTCTAATTTATACTTTTTATTCAGTCCAAATATGTCCAGTTTGTGATAAATTCCTCTGTGTTGTTAGAAACTCTGTGAAAGGGAAGCTTTAACCAGCAGTTAAAGTATAATTGTAAACAGCAGCAAATGGGAACAATATTCTCCCCCAAAATCTATGCGGGAGACTTTATATTATATTTAGATAAACATTTAAAGTTAAAGTCATTCTTAAACAATAAAAACTTCCGAGGACTTTTAAAGCATCAGTAGTTCATCGAGATTTTCCCCAAAATCTTTAGATGACATTTAAATCATTTCTGATTAAAAAGAGCTTCTAGAAAGTTCCTTGGTCTCATTTATAAAATACTGGACAGCATCCCTAGCAACAGCAACCACACGCCGACATCATGGCAACCACAGCCAAGACAGCAGAAAAAAAAGCACCAAAGTCAGATAGATACGTTTGGTAGAAACAGTGATCAAAAGGAAGTATGATTAATGCCAATTTCACAGTCTGATGGACGGATCAGATTAACGAGGACATAACCCAATTCTTTTGTTCCTAAAAGCGGCTTCAGGCAGAGTGTCAGTTGATGGTTGAGTTTTTTTAAAACCAATTTGCGCTGCTAAGAGCAGACAGGAACCACAGAGCGGTTAAGAAAAAAAAAAGCATAATCTGCTGACGCAGGATACTAATCTATAAGGTTTGCAAAGAATGGACGTGTCTAGGCTTAAGATTATTCATTTGGATCTTTAATAAACTGACTGAATTATGAAGCTTCCTGTCTATTATTGTAAATTATTTATGTCTATAATCCTTTAAAGCTATAAAACTATAAAAAGCTTTAATAAAATTTGTACCGTCACTAACTGGATCTACTCTCTTTCAAATTAATTCTATTTAGTTTATTTCTATAGCGCCTATTCACAACACATGTCGTCTCAAGGCACTTTCCAGTTAAACCAGATCATACAGTCAGTTTGATTCAAATTCTAAGGAAAACCAGCTGATTGCATCGACTCATTGACTCTTCAGCAATCCCTCACACTAAGCATGCTTGTAGTGACAGTGGAGAGGAAAAACTCCCTTTGAACAGGAAGAAACCTCCAGCAGAACCAGGCTCAGTGTGAGCGGCCATCTGCTGAGGCCCACTGGGGTTCAAGGAGACAGAAGCAGACATAGAAAAAGAAGCATAGATACAAAAGGCAACTGTAAAAGGCGGCCCCATCCAGGAAATCTGACCATGACTGGCTGGTCACGGTCAGATTTCCTGGATGGGAAACAGGACTACACTGGAAAACAGGCCAATCTTCAGCAATCCCTCACAGATGAAGCTATTATGAGAAAAAGCAGAGAGAGAGGAACGTTAGAGATTGAACTAACAGATTCTACAGAGTGGGAGAATAGAGATAGAATGATGAAAAAGGGGTCCCTATGTCCTCCAGCAGTCTAAGCCTATAGCAGCATAACTATAGAGATAGCTCAGTTCATCCATATTGACATTAAATATGTCCTCAGAGCTCATCTGCTTAACTCTAGTAATCGTAATTGCAGCAAAGTATAAACTCAAGGGGGCTGAATACTTTTGCACGCCCACTTTTTTTTCCAGTTTTCCCAAAAAAGTTATAAAACACTTTATTTCCAAGTTTGAAGACGTTTCTCTTCCCATTCAGGAAGCTTTTTCAATTCAAAATGTCAGAAATAGCATTGAGTTCTAGGCTTTATGCAGCATGACTGAATCTTCACAGACAAATTTTGTTTATTTTTTAAAATAATTTAAAACATCCAATAAATTTGGTTCCACTTCATGATTGTGTCCCGCTTGTTGTTGATTCTTCACAAAGAATCACTATTCTATATCTTTATGTTTGATGCCTGAAATGTGGCAAAAGGTTGAAATGTTTAAAGGAATAGTACACCCAAAACATGATTAGCCTTCATTTTCTACTCACCCCCATGCTGAACAACACTCTGGAGTACTTTTTTGATATCTCAAATGCATCTGGAGATCTGGGAGGCTTCTTGCTGTCTGCTGACATTCAAATAATGGAGGTCTATGGCGCCCGAGACAGAAAGGTCCACAAAAGTCCACAAAAACTTGTCAATATTCCTCCATACTGCTCGTCCAATGTAATCCAAGTGTCCTGAGTGGGTAGCATCCAGAATTTACTCGAAACAAAGTCATTTAGAATGTTTTTAGAGCATAAACAGTAGTGTATAGGATTTCCTAATAGCGCCCCCATGCGCGCTCGCGATTCTACGGAAGCCGGCAGACCAAACCAGCGCATTCAGCTCGGCAAAGAACTCATGCTCTTCCTCAACACTGAAGTCCTCAGACATTTTTCTTTCGTTGTTTCTTTCTTTGCACAGGTAAACAGCACATTTCTTCTTCTACGCTTGCATTATCGGCAGACCAGACGCTGAATGCGCACTTTCTTCCGGTTTGGTCTGCCGGCTTCCGTAGAATCGTGAGCGCGCATGGGGGCGCTATTAGGAAATCCTATACACTACTGTTTATGCTCTAAAAACATTCTAAATGACTTTGTTTCGAGTAAATTCTGGATGCTACCCACTCAGGACACTTGGATTACATTGGACGAGCAGTATGGAGGAATATTGACACGTTTTTGTGGACTTTTATGGACCTTTCTGTCTCGGGCGCCATGGACCTCCATTATTTGAATGTCAGCAGACAGCAAGAAGCCTCCCAGATCTCCAGATGCATTTGAGATATCAAAAAAGTACTCCAGAGTGTTGTTCAGCATGGGGGTGAGTAGAAAATGAAGGCTAATCATGTTTTAGGTGTACTATTCCTTTAAAGGGGTTTAATACTTTCACGAGGCGCTGTATATAGATGTACACTCACCGGCCACTTTATTAGGTACCCCATGCTAGTAACGGGTTGGACCCCCTTTTGCCTTCAGAACTGCCTCAATTCTTGGTGGCATAGATTCAACAAGGTGCTGGAAGCATTCCTCAGGGAGTTTGGTCCATATTGACATGATGGCATCACACAGTTGCCGCAGATTTGTCGGCTGCACATCCATGATACGAATCTCCCGTTCC